AATTATTACAATGTTTTAAGCATATTAAATCAAGTAAATATTTCATTTAGCTTGCTCGTTAAAATCCATGCAATTTCGTAAGCCAACAATCCAAGCACGACAAATAGCCCGACCGATAGATCGAATTGATCGATTAGTCCTATTATTCCAGTTATGTGGTTTGGAGCAAGGGGAGACATTACTGAAAATAATTAAAAGTTGAAAAAATTGAGGTTCTTTGCATATCCCTGCTTCAACCCATATGGTGTTGTATGCTGGTAAATAAGCCTCCCCTTGGATAGGCATTTAACTTTTATTATTATTTTTGACACAACACCGATTTCAGACCCGTAATTACTTTTAAACAGCAACAAGTCTGGCGATTTTAATTTTCAAGTCACTAAATTAAAATTTAAAATATTCGAGTCAACTAATGATAAAATTATGCAGTGCGTAATTCCCGGAGTTAATTTGAAAAGTAAAAAATTATTTCATATTGGTCATTATATACATAGATTGTCATCCATTTAATTTTAAATTCATGGCAGATCATCCAAATTTTTTCTTCAAATCTTTATTATTATTTTATCATTATAAATTTATAATCTTTCTTTAATTTTTAATAATGTTAAAGTTTAACAGTTTAATTTCATTAAATAGTGTGGCATAAGTTTACATTCCGAACTACAATGTTAAAATTTGTTTACATTTATGATTGTTAACATCACTATCTCTAATAGAGAGTTACAAAAGCGCTTCCCACTAATATGCATAAAGTTGATTGAGATAAAAATAGAAGAATTTTAAAAACGTTTATATCGTATTTAAATATGTTAACATAGTAATATATTGATTAAAATAACAATATATATATATATTAAAATTCATTAAAATTAATTTATTGAAATAGTTCTCGTGGTTGTTCTCGTGGTTGTTTTAATAAGGTTACATTGAAAGGTATGCCGACATCGTTGAGTAATATCATCTGCCTCCGATGCGACATCTCCATCATAGTAACAACACGAAACTTATAGAATGAACAATTTTATTATACTTCATTTTATTATTTCTTCTATTTTCAATTAATTTTCAATATTATTTTTTCAGGACAACCTAACTTAACTCTGCCCCTAACCCTGACACATATACACACATCAACGTTACACACATATACATTATACACATTATTTTACTAAATTATACGTGCAAATTATAATATAGGTACAGATAACGTGTAATATACATACAAATTATAATAAAATAAAACATATAATAATAATATTACAATAAAAACATATAAAAGTCAAAAGTGCATGCATCTATTTTAATCTCAGTGCACTTTTCGAATTTCAGTAGGAGGAGCTTATTTTACTCTCTATTAGAGATAGTGAATGTAAACAGACGTTATAGTTCAGAATGTAAACTTATGCCAATATTATTGTTAAATATTAATTAATAAAATAAAAGTTGTGTTTATTTATTTTTATTTAAGTTTGTTAAATTTTTTTAGTTTTTGGTCGGGCCATACATTCTCTAGCTAAAATTGGGGAAGAAATATATTTTGGAGCTGAAACTGATGGGGTTGTTTTGTTTATCCTTTTTTTTATTTTATCTTTTATAATCTTTGTTATTATATCATTTATTAATTATTTTCCTCTATAATATCATTTTTAATTAACCAAATTTTACATTCAATACTTAGTCTAGAATATTATATTATTATATTCTTGTAAGTCCAGAATCATTTTGATACCATATAACATGTTGCCTTTATCATCTTTTATATTTTTTCTTGTATAATTATAATATAAAACTATGGCTTAACATTAAATTAACTTAACTAGTATATTTATCTTATTTATTATTTTTTTAATGAAATTAAAACAGCTGGCAGTAAAGTCAGTGAATAGTTCACGAACAGGTTTTGCCAGCTTCTTTTTTAAATCATCCTTCTTTTTGAAGTATTCTAAGCATTCAACAAGTTCGACAAATGATTTGTCAGCTTCAACAGTTAATGTCAGCAGAGTAGTTGTTGATGATGGGAATGACAATAATGATGCATTAAAATTTAAAGTTTATACAAAGGTTTTGTTGACGTTTCACCATTACCAGATTGTCTTGTTTTTGTTTTATTCTCATTTATAAATTATTATTATATTGTTAATTCAATTTTTGAATTGTTTTATCAGAAGCCTTTTAGTTTGTCATTTATTTTTTTTTATAATTAACATTTTTTGTTCCTAATTCTCTTCTTGTCCTAGTCATGCTTGATGGTCTTCAAATCTCTATCAAATCTAGAGAAAACAGTTGACAAGTGTAAAATTTCACTAAATGTAGATGAGGATAGACTGATGTTTCAACTTCAGTGCAGGCATGGTCAGTTATTATTTTCAATTCAAACTGGTTAAAATAAAAAATAATAGAATGTTCGAAATGTTTTCATTTCGACATTTACTATAAAATATTTATTCAATGTTGTATAATATAATATAAAATATAGCATAAAATATAATTCATAATAATATAAAATTTAAAATATTTTTATAAATTCCAACTTTATTCTTTTCTAAGGCCTTGTGAAGACGTACAACCTGACATATTTTGAATGTGAGAATCTGCAGGCATTATTCAACACTAATGACAACCAGAATTCAATATGTACACAATCAAAGTAATCCAATCAAATTTGTAAAATCTATCTAACTAAATGTGCTTTTACTGATTATCTTTTATTTAAAAGTAAATTCTGACCTAAAAATTTTAACGATGATTTTTATTCATAGATTGAAATGATTATTTTTAAAAATAAATTTTAAATGTTTGAATTGATTTAACTGTGTGGATGTTGTGCATGTTTTAAATGAAATGAAAAGAAAACAGATTTTATTTCATCATATGACTACTTTTGTTTAATCTAGCAATCCGAGAGGTTTTTAATCTGTTTTAATATACAATGATTCTATGCTGTTCAATTGCTTTTGATTTGTGATAAAACTTTGGTTGCATCAATTGTGTCATCATCTACTTGATCAATTTTTATAGAGTTGTTTTTTGGGATAATTTTGTTATTTGCATACTACGTAATATAATTGTTTTGTTGATTTTAATTCTTTAAATAACATTTTTTTATAATGGTTACTTGGGTTGACATTTTTAATATTTTTTTACATTACTTTCAATCCAATTTAAATCATTCGTTTTTTATTTATTGATTTTCAATTTCAGTTGATAAAATCTGCTTTAATCATTAATTTTAATGCTATTTTTGGATTTAATTAGAAAATAAATAATGTTTAATAATGGTACGGCCAGGTTGTTTGCAGAAGTAGTTTCAAACTTTCAGCCATCGGTAGACGAGCTGAACATTACAATGCTCATTGACAGAGTCCTTATCAGAAATCATGTCGAGGATATAAATGGTGGTGGGGTCGTATGGGGAAAAATGGTGATGCGATTATTTGAGTGTAAACGATGGCGTGGTTATATGGGAATAATAAGTGGTTAAGATATGTTCATTACGTATTTTATTATTTATTGGTTAGTTAATTGGTTAAAATAATAAAGGATTAATGATAGATGTATAGATTATAAATTTTTTAGGATTTCTAATTTTTTGACACCCAACGACTTGTCTTTTGTATATCATTAATTTACTTTACTTTTAATTCTATAAACTGTTACGCAGAATCAAACAAGCTGATAAAAACAGAAGTAGTATTAGAGTTGGATGAATTTTTTGAATACAAACATGTATCCGATCAGCAAGCTGTATTCTGTCTCAAGGAATTCAGAGTATGGGAAGAACATCAATTAATTCATTATTTAATATGAATATTATTTTCAATTCTTTTATTTTGTCAATTATTTAATTTATCTTTACGCCATTTCTTAAAATATTTCAAGTTGCGTCTTCGTCTGACGACAAATTATTACTTGATCTCAAAAAACTTCTCGCCAGGCTCTGCTGTTTTTTTGTGAAATGAACAATCTGCCTGTGTCCGTACACTTTAAAGAGCCTGGAATGTATGTTGGTCGGTCGGTTGGTTGGTTGATTGCTGGATGGTTGGTTGATTGATTAGATGATTGGTTGATTAATTGGATGATTCATTGATTTATCGGTTGATTGGTTAGTTAATTGGTTGAGATAATAAAGTATAGATTATAGATAAATTATCTAACTTGAAACATATTTTAAGAATGTTTGACATCACAATTACTACGCATTTATTTTTAGCTCTCTCATAAATGTGCGAAAAATGCACATCACAACTATTTCAAACACTACACTCACACAGGCCTATAATATTCACACTTGACTCTGATCCTTCATTTCAGTGTCACTTCGTTCTAGTGACCTTGACCTCAAATTACTTGACCTCATTAACAGAGGTCAACTCGACGACCGTACTACCTTCCACCACCACCACTACTACTACTAAGAAATCTGTTAAAAGGTTTTCGTTGAGGATTTTTTTCATTCGTTTTTGAGTTCATAATTTTAAATATTTTTATAATTTGTTGTATTTTGAAATGAAAAAAAATGGAAAATTTATACGTTTATTTTATATATAAAATATATATATAATATAAAAAATATATATAATAAATATTATATATATATTATTATTTTTACCTATTATTTATTAGTTATATATTTTGCAATGATCCCGCAGAAAATCAGCCGAAGGAAGTAAGCGATCAAAACTGAAGCAGACAAACTTAAACAAACTCAACCTTCTCGATGAAAGTGAACTGGCTGACAATCAAAAAACAACCACCAAAAAGGATAATAAAAATAATAATAAAAACAACAAGAACATTTATAATACCGCTGCTAACAATGGTAAAAACTATTACGATGATGACGATGACGATTGTTGTCGAGATGAGAATGACAATGATGATGTTCCTATGGAAGATGATGATAATAACGATGATAATGCCGTTAATGATAATGAAGATAACCACGACGATGACGACGATGGTGATAATATGCCTTATAATTCTTACTTCATTCATAACGAAAACAACACTATTGTAAATAGACCCAATGGTAATAATAATAACAATAATAACAATAAGAATAATAATAATAAGAATAGTAATATCAACTGCACTAACAGCTATAACATTAAGAGCAAACATGCTAACAATAATAATGCTACAAGTCAAAGTAACAGTAATAATAATAATAATAATGATAATAAGAAGAATGCTGGAAGTAATAAAATGATTAAATTCAATATGTTTAACGAGAATGATGAAGATGATGATGATCAAGCTGCCAATGATGTTAGTATAGTATTTTGTATGATAAACATTGTTAAAACAATTGATAGGTTTATTATGTTTATCGTTTTATTTAGTAACTCTTTATTTCATTTGTTTTTTAAAAGTATTAATGTAGAGCACATACCTCATTATTATTAACGTGCTTATCTTTGCATTGGCTTTAGTTTCATAAATTTTTTAATTATTTCTTTTTCAGTTAACCCGATTAATTAATTAATTTGTTAATTAATTGATTAATTAATTAATTGATTTATCGAGAATCTCATACAATGCGAGGTGACAGCAAATTCCGCTAACACTAAGAAGAATGACAGTTGTCGCCGCATTGATAATGACGATAACAACAAAGATGACGACGATGGTGACGAAGGTAATGATGATGACGTCATTCCAGGAACTCCTCCTAATAAAAAGGTTGCTTCTTTTTGATTTCATTTCTCATTTTCGGTCAAAACATTGGGTAGTTAATCGTTATGAGTCATCTAATACATTATATTTAAGTTCAAAGAATTTTGGCTTTATGATTTAGTACCCACCTGTCAAACGTTTGTTCGTAGATAGTTTTACACAATCCAGTAAAATTTTGATAGGTGTGAACTCAACTTGATACATATTTTTATAGCTTTTTATATTTTGTTATCTAAGCTTCTATATTTGTTATATTCATCGAGTATCTATCTCCTACTTTGAACTTCACAAACCATCTTCTGAGTGAAGTATTAAACAGCGCTATAAAAATAATTTTAAACGATGGATGCTTGATAATTCATTGAGAAATAATTTTTTCCTTGCAGTTTCGTTCTCTGTTTTTTGGCTTATCCCAATCGCAAAATGGAGGTTCACAAAACGGCGTCGGTCACAACAGCAGCAGCAGCAGCAGATGCAAACCCACTACGAATATGCAACGCGATGAAAAATATAAACATCATCTCTTCGCCGAGGATTCTGACGTTGAATGAGACTGAATTACTAAAAAATATTTTCCTCTTACATTGATGATTTTAAATTTCAAATGAGACAGTTATTATTGTTATCTGAATTGATATTCTTGTTTATTAAATTAAAAAAAAAAAATTCACATTTCTGTTATTATTATTCGACAATAAAGAGTTAATTCGTTTAAAATAATGTCCTTTGTTGTTTTTAAAAAGGCAGTTACGAACGTTCACATTTCACATTTAACTCAAACGATAAATAAACTAACAACAATAAATTCGCAAATAAAATGAACAGATGCCCGCTCAGTAGTAATAATTATAAAATTAACATTAATAACTTACTAAATATTAATAAATTTATTAATTATTAATTAACATTCCACCACGTTCGCTCATGCACGCAAATATTTTTCGTAAGTCTTAACGCTGCGACAACACGTATGAAAATATAACTTAAAGTGACGGAGTATGTCGAAGATAATATGTAATAATGTAGTTATACAACCTGTGACTAGTAAATAAATATATAAGTAGATGAATATATACACACATATATAATACAGTATATATCCAACAGATTGAAAATTTAAATATAGCCATACGAATAGATGGTAATGATAAATATCAATCAATCAATATAGCATATATATAAATATATCTATGAAAATCACAGCATGTTCCACGTTGGTTAACTTCTCGTTTAAATTTTCGATTTTTCTGACTGTAGATCTTGAGTTAACAAACGCGGAACATGTGATTTTCATCTATAATATACATACATACACACACACACACACACACACATATATATATATATATATATATATGTTGGTAATAGACAATTTGGCTAATAATTGGTCGAATGGGATGATTCTTTTTATGCGTTTTTATATTTCCATATAAGTAGCCAGGAGAGTATTCGCCTATAAGTGATGGAAGTTTGTCATCGGTGATGTGCTTTCTTATCTTCTTGATATATATATATATATATATATATATATATGTGTGTGTATAAATAAGCTAAATTGGAAATTTAAAACTGAAAGAAGTGTAAAAATCTGGAAATTAACAAATTATTAAATAGATAAAGTACAGAGAACAGCCCGTACGATATAGGAAAAAAACTCAGCGCTACAATATACAATTTTATAAATTTTATTAAAAAATGATATAGTTAACGACTTTAAAACGTTTATATTGATACAATATCAAGCCCAGTACACGCAATAAAGTAATTAATATAGGAAATTCACAATACAAGTGGTTATGAGCATTTGAAATAAAATTCCTAATAGCAATATTTTGAACGTTTAGAATTGAATATCCAGAGTATATGTGGTTATTTATTAATTTATAGATAATTTTATAATGGAGAATGATATAGAAACGACTTTTTTTCTGTTTTTATAATACCTGTAACTTGAAACTATCACGAGTACAATTACAGAATACAGATTATTTAAATTAATAAATGAAAAAAGGAATGAATGAATGAATGAATAAATAAGAAAAATATATAAATATTTACAGAACTCATTTCGTTAGAAACTTTTTTGAAAATATATTCTGGGAATGTCGTTATAAATAAGTGAATGTCTATTCAAGCAATGAAATTATTAACAAGTCTCCTTTAAGATAGAGTATGCAGGTGATGTGGTTTCGGTGTAAGAGCTTGTAATACAAATCAAAAATGGATTAATGTTGGATCACAAAAAGGATTAATGTTGGATCAAAAATGGACTTATGTTGGATAAGAAATGAATTCATGATGAATTACTTCCATCACCAGCTTCAACTAAGAATTTATTCTTAAATGGATTTGCTGTTTGGTTGTTCAACAGTTTATCGTCAACATGAGGTTTTGAAAATATTTTGGCATGTTTTCGTTGTTTAATATTTTTGGGGTTGGTGGTGTTTCTAAGAATTTTTTTGTCATTTTCTTTCTGTGTGTGCGGTTGTTCAGTTGAATCTCCTCTTATTTCACTACTGTTGTTTGTGATGTTTTTGTTTCTGGCTTGTTGGTTGCGTCTGAGTTGTTGTTGTCTAATGGTGTGCTGCTCATTTTTTTGCTGCTGCTGCTGCTGTTTTTTATGCTTCCAAATTTTCACTTGCTTCTCGTGTTCCTTCTCCATATCTTTCTCATTTATGGAAAGCTTCAATATCTAAAATGGTGTTTTAATAGGCTTCAGTTGAGTGCATTGCAAAACGTTTCTAACAACATTTTAACACGATAGTTTAAAAAAATCATGATGATCAAATCAAAGTGACATCAATGTGGAGTTAGAAAAATCTTAGTAAAATACACAACAACACACGTTTAGACGACATTTTCCCCGAGATCGGGGGTTGCCGTTTGGCTACCTATGATGAAACCAAAATATCCCTCGACGCCATTCGGATACTGAGGGCCATTGTCACTTCTGTCATCATAAGTAATTTATTTGGCTAATTTTTACGCAGGACGCCCTTCCTTACGCAACCACAGTTATAAGCGGTGGGCCTAGTCTTTGATGATCCAACATCACTCACAAGGCAGTGAGGGTCAGTTTAATGTCATAACCAGGACATCTTAGTAAAATAACTACAGACAAAAAATAACAACAGTTACAAAAAGTGGGAAAAAATTCATAACGACCTCTTTAACTAGATAATCCTGCTGCATGTACTCCGCGGGAATTTTTTTAAGTTTCTCGAGTGTGTCGTAGACAGTCGAGCATCGCTTCAACTGCACCGCATCGCCAAGTACACTCTTCACGAGAACCAGGGCCACCTTGAAAATCACCTTTATACCTGCAATGTTTTGTACAAGATGGACAAGTAAGTACAGTGGTTATTAATTTTTCTAGGGTGATTACAGAATTTACAATTGGAAATTTTTTGTAAATGTGATGTAATCAAGCATGACCTAATAGAAGAAAATAGACATTAAAGTAATAAAAAATTAGGATTTAAAAAATTTTTTTAAAGTCACTCCCAGAAGAAACTAATCTCAGACAACAAAACAAAAAAGAAAATAAAATGACACAATCAGTCAGCCAAACTATCCGTCCACTCACTCATCTATCCACCTAACCAACCTTCACACATGAACATATCCCAGATCCTAAGCAGTGTTGGCCAAGGAAGGGTCCTGGAGAAGAGGCACATGAACCATTCCGTCATGTACAACAATGGATCCACTTTTTGCGATTTCTAGCGAGGAGGTTTGTTTAGAATTTAAACAGAGATGAGGACTATCAGGTTATAAAGTTTATAATGACATGAAGTGTTATAAGCATTTGTAACTTTACAGTTTTAAATGTAAGCAATGATGAATTAAAGAACCTTGAATAAAATGAGAAATTTTTTGAAAAGTTATTATTTTAATTAGGAGATTTTTAATTAAAATAAAAAAACAAAACAAAAAATAAATAAAATGGCAGACCAAATGTCGGTAGGTCTGCGGTGAGACCTTCTTCATCAGACTGAACATCACCATACCATCAATCTGAACTGCTTCCTGAAATCATCAAATAACAATTCCAAATTATCATAATGAACCTCACAGGTATTTCTTCTTTCCATATTTACATAATTTATATTAAATATCAAAATTTTGTTCAAAAATCAAGAAAATAAACTTGCTAAAATAAGAAGCAATAAAGAAAAAGATGATAAAATGAACTGAAGATGAACGCTTACCAATCCAGGATCAAAATATCCCTCCATGTACTTATCACAAATGGTACCAAAGCACCAGAATGCCTGTTCGACTGGCATGACCGTAAGCAGAACTGCAGCTATGGGACCTTGAGCCTGGCAATATCCGACCGATGGCTGGTAGATGGAGTAGGCCTTTAAGACGTTGAACAGATCCTCTTGTCTGATGTATGTGTATGTGTGTCTATATGTGTGTGTGTGTCTGTGCATAGCAATTTAATTACTATATATAAATGTATATATTATTTCAAATAATAAAAGGTTAGCATAATATTTCCAATAACTAAACCAAAAAATAATCAATAAAATAAATTTCACACACAGTCATGTTATAATATTTAACAAAGAATCCAATTAATCAGCTGAATGATGGTAAAGAATACCAACAGACGACAAGTAAACAGGCAGAGTAAAAAATTGTTTGAAAGAAAAAATTTCATGAGAAAATGTTTATTTATTTTTTAAAATATAAAGAAAAAAGTATCATTAATGTAGAAATATGTTAATTGAAAAAAATTGATAAAGTTTATATTTACAAATATCAATCATTAATTAATTAATTAATTAATTATTTAACCCACCCTTGCCCGTTGTTATTGATGAAGAGCTCATGATGAGGATATATCCTGTGTACATCTTTTCTTATATCTTCGAGGCATGTCTCGCTGCCCTAGTTCAAGTTTAATAGGAAAAAATATTATTACAATAATAATTAAAATTATAAAAAAATATGAGTTGGTGAATTATTATTTCATGGTTTTTATAGAACAACATAAGCAAAGTATGGTCTAATTATGTACATAGCTGCACTTCATTAGTTTCAAAAAATTGTACAATGAATTGATTTTTATGCTTGTATTAATGTTGATTCATATATTTTAAAAAAAAAATCACAACTGTAAAAAAAGAAGTACAGTTAATTTAAATAACCATTTAGAAAAACAAAAAACATAAATTAATTAATCCAAAAAACATAATTATAATATAACTCTATAATTTTTAAATCCAAAAATAATTCTACAAATATTTCCTAATAATATTTCCATAATTAGTCACCTTCAACTTCAGAAATCTTTGAAACTCGCCAGGCCTGTTGTACATGCAGACAGCACTGCCACTCAACATCTGCCAGGAATGTGCCCTCATCGAACTTGGTATACCTTTTCGGCAACGTTCCTTAACCTTTCAGGGTTTATTAAGTTAAAAAAGTTAACTTAAATATCAATAGCTCATTTATTAAGTTAAAACAGATCAATATAAAATATAGTAAAATGATTGAACAAAAAATATTGAAAGCTCATTTTTTAAAAATTAAAAAAACCTTTTGAAACTTTTTAGCCATCCATTTGTCCCAGTCATCCAACATGTCTATCCATTTAAGTTCTCTTACTCTCAACACCTCCAGTGGAATGTTCGCTTCTCTGATTTTCGTGAAATGGTATCAAGACTATGTTATATTATACAGTGGTATATTATATATATATATAAATATATATATATATACACAATACAACTATTTAGTTAATTATTATATTTTACCATACATCGCACACAAAACATTCTCAAAAAAGTAAACAAACACATACTGAGATGGATTAGTGTATTGGGTCCCACCGTAAAATCCGTATTTATCGACCTCCCTGCCATCATCATCAGCAGAAACAACAATTTGAAATGATGGGGTGTTGGGATCACTATTGATATTGAATAACTTCTTTGAGTGTATAATAGTGGGTTCATCATAGACTGAAGAATTATTAAAAATGACAGAATCGACTTTTGTTGTTGTTTCATCGATGGCGTTCTCTTGTGACTTCCTGATTTTCATAGTTTCCGAAGATGGACTCTCACCTTTGCTATTTTGATTGGGAACATCCTTATTTTCATTTTTTGTAAATTTTGTTTCTTGATTGGAATCCATTTAATTAAAATTTATTTTTGAAAAAACAAAAGTTTTAAAAAACATATCAATTTTCCTCCGTTTGCTTTTTAAGGATTTTTACTTTTTCTTTTAGCGAAATGAAAATAAAAAAAAAGAAAAGTGAATTTCAAAATATTATCATAGAACTATAATTTATTTTTTATAAATTTACAAAAAACTTCCAAATTAATTATTAAAATTATGAATTTTATATAAAAATTTAAATTTTAATAAATTAATACAAAAACATTTTTAAATAACTAATTTTTTTATGAATCTTAGTGAGCGATATTCTATTCCGTAATATGCAGGACACAGGTTGTTTAAACTAAGTCATAATATATAAATTGATCGGCGGTGTTGGTCGTGTCGTTTTTTTTTAAATTATTTTCTCGTATTTAGTTGATGCAACCTCTAAAAATTAATTTTCAATAAATGCCTAAATTTACCTAACTAATCAAATATGTGAAGTGTTGTCAGCGTCAGCTTTATTAAACTTTTGACATCAGATTAAATATTAAATTAACATTAAAACTTAAAAGTGTATTAAAGTCTTAAAGTATTAAAGTCTTAACTGGTAAGATTAAAAAAACTTACTAAAAAATTGGAAATTGAACCAAGAAACTTGAACTTAATCTTCGGATTTCAATTAGACAGAATAAATTCCCAATAAGACTGTTTTTAACAATTGCAGAAAAAGTATTTTCTATTTTCGAATTTGCATCATTTGATTTACCGTTCTCAAGACTCAGTAGAAAGTTGTTCCTCTTAACTAAAATAAAGACCTAACTAAATACTCAAGCCTTTCATTGATAATTAATAAATATTATTAATTAATATTTCTTTAGACTCCATTTGCTGCCACTCCATCTACCTCTACCATGTTGCTAAATGTAAAGAAAAAAATTAATTGCATATTTGAAATAGTTATTGAACCATCCATCAGTTCAAAGAGACCGAACCAATTTTTTTCAGTGCAAGCAACAGATGGTCTGAGGAATGAGTTTGTGTCATCACTTAATCAGCCCCACATTGTCAGTGAAAAAATCGATGGTACCTCATCATTTGTCAGAAGATTCAATGGTATACCTTGGCTGTGGGCAAGACATGACAGAAAACCCACAAAGAATTACAAAAAGATGCATATAGGTGATAGCATAGACTATCAAGACTTCAAAATTGAAAACTACAAAGATGCCCCAGAAAACTGGACTGCTTCTGACGCTTGCCTGAATGAAATGGGAAAACTTATTCCAGACACAAACGGTCACATTATGGGCTGGGTTCCCATCAATCCACAACTGAAACAACATTGCTGGCACTGCCAAGCTGTAGATCTTGAGTCTGGATTGGCGCTGACTTTAAAACCAAATGATGGACATGCAGACAACACATTAGAACTGTCCATAGAACCGCTAGAGAAGCTAGAGGAATGCACTTTTGAGTTAATTGGAACAAACATCAATGGGAATGCATACAATATAGGCTCCAAACAGGCACCACTGCACATCCTGGTTCGACATGGCATAATAAAAATCTCCAAAACGTACCCAAATGTTACACAAAGTTCATTACGCAATTGGTTTATCAACGATGAAAATGGTAGAGTAGAAGGAATAGTATGGCACTGCAGCAATTCAAGACTATACAAGCTGCACAGGCACCACCTGGGATTAGAGTGGCCAATTGATTGTACCAAATTGTCTACAAGACCTCTTGTAATTAATATACCCAAGTGTCACAATTCACCAAATCCTCATTTCAAATTTCTTTCTATTTTTGATGGTAGATGTTTCAATTCATTTAATGAATTTGTGTTATGTTACATTGATAAATATTCTAGTTTTTGAATTTGCTTCCAAATAAGAACAAGTGGAATACAAATTTGTTTATTGACCATCTTTATTTTTCAAACAACTAAGACAGTTTATTATCAGTTCATTTATGATTCACTTTCAACATTCACTGTTTGCGATCCTGAAAGAAATGAAAAATAAATTTTTAGTTTAAAATTTGTGAATATTTCATTTTTGGTTGAGTTTAGCAATTCACTATAAAAATTAATGTCATCATGACAACTATTTATAATGACACACCTAACTATTTAAAGTAAGTTAAAACTTAAATCGAATTTAAAATAGTAATTGGATAATTTTTACGGGTCAACTGTTTTCATAGAGTTTACAAGAAACAAATTTAATTTTGATAAAAATATAGAAATCTGCACCACCTTTAAAGTTGACCATGGGAACATAAGAAACGAGTGTGTACAACTTGTGAGGTGAGTCCTCATCTTCGTTTCTCTTTCTTGCAAGTCTTACTCTTACTCTGTAAGGCACATTCCTAAACAAAAAAAGTATTAATGTTTTTTTACTAAATCTTTGTATATAACATTTCAGAAAAATATGTAAATAAAAATTTAAAATTGGAATGTTAAGGATTCAAGCAAACAGAAAATTAGAGATTTGCTTTGGATGAAAATTTTTGTTGGATTTTTTGTAATTTGATAGGATTACCCAGAGGCATCATGTTGAAAGCTTTTGATTTTAGTTCATTTCAATAACCTTATAATTACGAATTCTCTAGTACATTAAAAATATTTTTTTATTCATAACTTATCAAATAAATCAATAAAAAATTAAAATAGAATTCAAACTCAACCTGATGCCTTTGGACCACATATGCTTGTTCAAGCGAGTTTCAATTCTCACGTCCATTGTCCCCATTTGCTTTTGAGCAAATTTCTTGATTTCTTTGATAGCTCTGGGGGCACGCTTTTTGAAGCCCCTAAAATTAATTAAATTAAAAGTTAGCAACGGTCGGTTAAATCGATTGAACCGCATACTAACATCCCATGAATTCTTTTGTGAATGTTGATGGTGTATTCCCTCGTAACCACTTCGTTGGCTACGTTCTTCTTTTTGCCTTCACGCTTGGCGGCCGTCATTTTTCTGATGAAATATGTAACATAAAATGAATAAAAAATAAATTATCAATCAATTTTCTTATTGAGCATTACTAAATTATTGGAAATCAAACGGATTATAATAGATTGAAAAAAAATTCGACCAACACGATTAAGTAAAAATTCAAAAGGAAGTTGGTTTGTTTAGAAATCTATAACCAACAGCAATTTAATTGTTATGCGCTTAATTTTTATTTTTCTAGCTAGATCTCTAGTTCTCTAGATGGTACTCCAAACATATAACTAGAATAAATACATTTTTTATCATAAATTGGGGTTAGTTTTGATAAATGTTTGCACAGCGTAATTTCAAGCCTGGTGGAAATCAAGGGTGTTTTAAATTTTTATTCTGTCATGAATATATTAAGCATTTTGCTATGCTGAATGTAAGATCGTAATTATTTAAAATTTGAATTCAGTAAAATAACTGTCAAGTCAATATTTACAATTGTAATTAATTCATAGATAACAATGAAATCAATGGTAAATAAATAGAATATTAATTAGTTTAACAATAACTTAAAACGGTGTAAGGAAATAAACTTAAAAACGGTGTAAAAAAAATAAATGACATTAAATTTCAGGATTAGCTTTTTTTGTTACTCTTCGGCAAAAGACGCTTTTTGGAAAATTAAAACTGTCGCCCCAAACAGAAAGACACAAACTACAAACTTAAACATTGTTGTAATACTCACAAATTATGTTGAAAAATTTTATGAACAATTTTTCGAAAAGTATTTAAAAAACTTTCTTCAAATATTAAAGCACTTTCATCGTTTTCAGACATGGATTGTAGTATTTTTTCACAATCCCACCGACCTGAATGACACATTTGATAATTATGATTGTAAGCAACGGATTCATCCACTACGTGATTATTTACGGAACTTTTTGAATTAACATTTCTGAGACATTTGTTGAAATCAATCACAAGACAGGACCGTGCATTTGTTATCGATCTGATGTCTTTAGCACCTGTTAGAGATGTGAAGTTGTTGGGAATCTTCGTCAAATGGCGTAATATCGTAGAAAATATGGTAGATGAAAACCGCGGCTGATAGTTTTTTAAAAAATAATGCGATTTGAAATTGAAACTGTCAATCACTTTTTTGGATCTCTTATCGCTTGTCATATTTTTTATCATTTGGACCAGTCGTCCCTTTTGTTTCGGGAATATAAAATCTTCAAAGGTAAGCACGGAAATATAGTTGGTTGAATGAATGAAACTGTTCAAGCAATCGTTGGATAATGCTGTAAAATAGACATCCTTCTCAACGTACGAGTGAGTCAATTTTATTTTATCATAAAATCGAAGTTCAAGCAGTGATTTATAGCGCGAAGCCAAATTGAATAGGAGATATTTAAGGTGTACATGCTTGGGGAGTGTGTCAATTATGTAGATAACAAATTTGCTGACACCCAATAGGTTTTGCATCGTTATCCATTCCAGAGCTACATACTGATAGGAATCATCGTTTAGATCAAATCTGTGGTCATTCATCCACTCAACCATCACGCAGGCGGCTATATGCGTTTTATTTTTTTCAATTTTTTTTGGAATTTCAACTGGAATACTGAATTGTTCTTTCGACCTTCTACTAACGTACACACTAATTCGGTTCGGAACTGTGTTACTCGAAACAGGACACACGATGACAAGAGCCGATAGTGATTGGTTGGATTTTTGGCTCGAATTGTTATTCAGTACTATGATGTCATTGGCGTCTAAAACAGTCGTTGTGTCGTTGAAATAGTTAACACATTTCAATTTTTTTAGCGGTAAACTTTTGCAGATTGTACCAACGATTCTGACTGTAGGGTGATTGTAAAGATTAAAATTGCGGTCATCATACCAAGCGGAATACAAATAAAGATTACAATTTGGAGAATTTTTAACGACAGGTTTCCACTTTTTATCAGCTGCAAACGGTAGCGTTGTCGAAACTTGTGGAAAGAAGAAGGTCGTTGGAGCACTGGTCACAAGCGGATAGAACTGTGTTGTTGTTGTGTGCTGTGTTTGTTGCGTCTGTTGCATCTGTTGGGTTCGTTGCTGCTGCTGCTGTCTCATACTTTTCATGTAGAAATAATCTGGCGGTATTGTCGTAGTGGCCTGGGAAATGATTCTTATTTGAAAAGAACCGTACGGAGCCGTCGTGCTGGGATATTTAGCTGAAAATTCAGTATTTAGAGTTTGTAGATGATTTTCTTCACGAGGCGTCATAATTTTTAATATTTTTGGGTATCTACTCAACAAAATCAGACTCGTCACTATTGTCAGTAGAGTGAGAAAACACGTGGCAGAGCTTGTTAATGGGATTACATCCTTCAAAAGAAAAAAAAAACATAATGAAATTAATGAAAAGTATAGCATTTAACAAAATAGACATACTCTTATTTTCAGAGAACAAATTCTGTCCGCGAACAAGGCCGCATCCAGTAGAGTTTTTCTGAGAAATTTGAAAAATTTCATTTCCAGGAATGGTAAACGTTTGTTAATGTCACTCATGTTACTCGTGCTTTCCTTCATCCAGTTACAATATTTAAACCTCAATAACTCTCCAAAATGTAATTTGCTGGTTTCAAATTTATTTTAAACATATCTGTTGGCCATTTTAGTAAAAAAATATGATGAGTTAAATTAGTTAAAAATGCGTGCTTACATTTAGAAGCAGAAGTAAAAGTGCCTCTAAACGAGTACAGCAGAGGAAGATTTTAAGCGACCCATTTAATAACGTGGTCGTTTCTATGTTTGAAACTTAATCGGCAAAAGAATTGTGAATGGCAAATATTTATCTGAATGGTAGCTTCTGCAGACAATGCAGCACTCATAGCTGTCCATTGTCAATATCCTTACTACAATCGTGACTTCTGTGCTCAAGCTAATGTAGCTACCTGTTTGTATTCAAATATGCCGTCGATTTATTAACAATGATAACAGTAGTTGTAGGTTATAACAATAAAATTAGTAGTAGTAATAATGGCAGAAATTGTATCGCCTTTCTTTAAGATCTTAGTAATAATACTACATTTATTAAATAGTAGTAGCAATAATAATAATAATAATTTTTATGGATTACCATCTAGAGTGAATAAAATAATAATAAAAATAATTATTATTATGATCATTAAACCACAATTAAAATTTAAACACGAATGTCATGTAGCACCAGGCAAATCAGCAAATTGTAATAACGGATCGGATATGCTTGTGCTTCATAACTTAATGAAAAAATTTTTTTGAAAACTGTTTGCTTCGTACAGTTTGCAAAATGTTCGATCGTTTTTACAACACCATAATTCTAAACGCAATGTATAATAGTGTAGTTTTGTTAGTCTCAATCTTGAATGTTAATATTAGGTGTAGCATCGAAAGATCATAAGAAAGGTTATTCCAGTCCAACCTTCATTTTTCAAGTAACCAATGCACGCAAATTTCTTTTCATTTGCAATAGCAAACATGCTGTCTAATCCATCACGTTTCACATGTTTGACATTCTAATCTGTCATTATTTAAGCTTGAAAATAGTAAAAAAGTTATATTACATCATCAAAAAATGTTTGATAACGATACAAAGTCATCCTATAAAATGATAGTAATCGTCCACGAAACGTAAAAACAATCAAGGGAACAGTTGTTATTTTCTTCATTCGATAAAATTCATTGATTGCTGCTGCTGATTTTTTTTCTAGAGATAACGCTTTCAACACAAACATCGCCAGGACGCAAAAATTAATTGTTACCAGATGTTTACTGAAATAGAAAAATTGAATTTAATAGTTGAATGCACTGAATGCCATTTGGCAACCGGCTTCTCACTCAATTAGTTCATTTTAAATATTTTCCGAGTTTCAGTATCCAGAAAATGAAGTAAGATTTTAAAATCTTATCAACATTTTTGAACATTTCACAAAATGAAACTTTATATTCAATATCTAAGACAGAAAAACAAATGTTCATTAACTAAATATAAAATAAATAAAGAAACGAGAAGATCACATATTTTAAACAGGGAACATAAACACACTTCATCATAATGTCTAAACTTGCATATGGCGTCATGATAAATAAGTACAGGATGCTTGAATAATGTGCACATGTGGCAAGTGAAATAGGATGCGTGGATAAGGGCATGCAAATTAATACAAATCACACGAAAATTAAACCTAAAAAATTAACTACAGTAACTAGACCGATATTAACCAAAGAAATCTATGCTACGATAATAAATGATTAAATATATATTATTAATATAACTAAGAGTGTTAACGAAACATTGTTTTAAAGATTAAATAACAAATAATTGAAATGCATATGAAATGATAAGAATATACGAATAAGAATAATGTATCTATGCATATATTAATTGGTTTTAAACATTATAAATTTTACATATATGCTTATATTAATTGGTTTTTATATGTATGCATATATTAATTGGTTTTAAAAATTAAAAACTTTTCATATTTTATGTATATGTTTTAAAAATTGATTTTTTAAAAGTTTTAAAAAAGAAAGAAAAAAAAATTCCGCTTAGTTAAGATTTACTCTTTTGAACGCCCCATTATGTAACAAATTTATCGTTTGTTCATAATAAACGATTTACATACAATACATACAATGGTTTTTGTGCATTAATGGATGAATGAATGAATTTTTAATTATAAATGAGTGATAAATAAGGCAGCCAGTTTAACACGAAGGCAGCAAAGAGATCTATCGCAATCCGTATTTTATATATTTCATAGTTTTTTTTAGTTTGGAGATCCTAAAACATATCGTCATACAGAAAAATATACACCAAGCACCCAAATACATTGATGTGAACTAGTATACATGTATACATTTGTACGCAATATTCGAACGCATACCTGCATATACACTCAAATATATACAAAAACATATACGCATACAGTTACACACACATACACACAAACATACCTACACACACATATCTTTACACATGCAACTGTAAACATACAAATACATTAACATGGTAATACATAACACACACGTATACTACACTACACATAAACGTAATGAGTATCAGTGTTTATTAATTACATATGCATTAATACAAAACATTTACACATTATTTTAGAATTTCTTGTGGTTTGAAGATTCTCACAATCGTCACCAGAGTTTATTCCTCGAAGCAGAGTATGTAGATAGCCGATAAGAAGAACACGATTGCTCCAATGATGTGCACTGATCAAAAATTAAAAATTTAAGAAAATAAAAAGTTTTTAAAACAGGTTGTACTGATTAACAAAATATAAAAAAATTATAAGAAAAGACGAAAAATGACATAATATAGTTTTATCGATTGACAATGTGTTAATTCAAAAAATATATAATAAATGTTGCAGGTTTATTTCGATCGGCAGAAAGATTATTTTTTTGTGTGCGGCTCATCTTTATAATCTCTGCATTTAAAAACTACATCATCGTCGTCGTCATCAACATCATGAACAACCTCACCAAATTCATCTATATTATCACCAAGAACGACGTTATCATCATCATCATCCATTATCATTATCGTCCATCATCATTATCATCCATCATCATCATTCCCCTGTCGCTAAAACCAACATTATCAGTGGCGGATTTTAGAAGGGAATCATGGCCCCAACCCGTTACCAGCAGTCCACAATCATTTTGTTGTAATTTCTTGAAAATTTAGCCGACAAAAATTGTTCAAAAACATTTCCAAGTATTCCCAGTTTTGGCCCCTTCAAACTTCGGCCCCCCTCCTTATCAAAGTTGTCTAGATCCACCCATAAGCATAATCAGCGTCATCATCATCTTCACAAAATTACCAACAACATCATCATCATTAGTTAGCAGTAAGGTATTTATAAATTTTGCTCTGCCCTCCTAATCTTGACGTTTGACCTTTTTTGCTTCACCCTAAAAATTTTATTGCTTAATAAACGGAAAACATTATTATATAGGACAAAATTTTAACATTTGGGAGAAGAAAGAAGGCTAGACAACAGAACAACAAATCAAATTTTCAAAGAAATGTTTTGAAAAGATTTGTTATGCGGGTCTGCAAGCTTTAAATGAATCTGTCCAGAAAAGATTTGTTATGCGGGGGGGAGGGGGCTGCAAGCTTTAAATGAATCTGTCCAGTCCAAACGATCACCATCATAGCACCACTAAAATAATTTACGCTAAAAATAACCTGTTCTCAGAGATATCCTCTGAGCCACGAACCTTCCAGCCAGAACAGCACACCCCGTGCAGAGGGCATGACCTATGACTCCGCCCACAACCACGCCTATCAAATTCTAATGGTAAAAATTATTTCAAATTTAAATTCAATTTAAAATCGGGTTTTTAATGAATCTAAAATAAAATTTAATGATCCTAAATGTAAAAAGTTGTTTTTATTGAACGCATACTATTTTGAAATCTACAGTTATAAAACATGTTGTTGTTTTTATTGCACAATTTTATATTTTAAGTTTGCTGCTTTTAAAGAGATAATAGCATGGCAACAGTAAAAAAATGTAAGCATAGAACATGCTCGTTTATTACAATCGTATTGATCTGCTGTTGTTGTATTTATGATTTTACACAATCTGTTGTCATCCTACCAGCATCATCAACAATAACAAAAACATTGTCTTTTCTTCTAGTCGTCGTCAACATCTTCACCTAAGTCAACTTATCTAAATTTTCATATGACATTTAGAAATTTATATCTAGAAATAGACTCGGCTCTTTTGTTTCACACATAAATGAACATTTTGATGAGCAGTTGACAACATACATTAAATATCAACAATCCACCCAAACACAACATCAAAGTAATAACAGTAGACAGACAGGGACAGAAAATCAAACAAACAGACAGACTGAAAGACAGGACAAAGACAAACAAGCATACATCTAGACTACATTTTGAGTGGCAAGTATGACGGTACTCAGCTGCGATCTATCGCCCCACTCGGCAACGAACGTTAAAATGAAGGACTGCAAGAAAACCGGAGACACCAAAGAAATAAATTTCTTCCAACGTTTTTTTTCGTCACTTTCTTTTCCAACTGGCGTCACCACTGAATCACGTGATTCGACGCATGCCTCGTACGACGGCGGTTGTGGTGATGATGATGATAATGGTGGTGGTAGTGGTGAGTGTGGGGGTGAGGATGAGGTAGCTGCTGCTGTTGTTGAGTGTAGTGGCGACGATGATGTTGGTGGTTGAGGTAGGATGGGTCCAGTTTCGACGTCCTTCTCCTTCGTCGGATGATCTATCTGTCGGAATTTAATTATATATTGAGCGGCGTCATGGTGTAATGGTTAAGATGCCTGGCCTTGCTGTTGCAGTGACTGGATTTGAAGGCACAGTGCTCCCGGCCCGAATATCACACGCAAAGTATGTGATGCATGGATTACGTGCATTTACAAGCTAGATGTGTTGTTGTTGATGCTTCTAAGAAATACTAGAAAGAATGATAAAACGAAATATGTATTTATTTATCGATTCATAGTTTAGAAATATAATTCATGATTGTTTATTATTTTCTTAAATTGAGACCGCGAAACCAACAAATTGTTTCTCCTTATCTTCCAGTTCACATTTGACACTCTCAAACTCGTTCTGACTTTGATTTGGGTCCATTCGATAAGCTAAAGTATTTTTTTAATTTAATTATTAATATTAATACAATTATTAACATTATTATAAACAGTCATTAATATTATTACAATTAATTAGTATTTATTATTAATTAATTGACTAGTTAATTACTAAAAATGGTAATTTTGGTCATTATGATGTATTTATGTTAAATATTCTTACTAACTCTTAGTACCATTATTTATTTGTTGATAATATTAACATAATTGTTTTTATTATTTAATATTATTATTAGTAACCTTTTGTAATTAATTATTATTCAATTAAATCGTTCATTGTGTAAAATTTATACAGGAATAACTCTAATAATGATAAGATAATAAAGAATGATAACGATGCTACTATCACACTACTACTACCACCATGAACACACACACACACACAAAAACACATACACGCCGATAAATATGATATACAAACACACACGCACTAAGCAAACAAACAAACACACAAACACGAAAGATGTTTTTTCTTAAAACAGTTTTCTCGATAACGTAAACATCGATGCAATTGATTTTTCCATTTGAGAAGCGAAAGACAGAATTAATGAATAAAAATAATATTTAAAAAAAAACAACTACGAAACTCATAGACAAAACACAAGTGCAGAAAGGATATAATTTATAAGTTATTCAATGAAATTGCTCCGAAAAACTGATAGAGTATCAAATTGAGAGCAGACTTCGAGCAAACTTTTCGTGTATTACCAGAAAATTACGCTATAAAAACCGCGTTTTGATATGTTGCGTTAGGCATATACATCATAATTCATGAGGTGGATTCGTGGGAATTTAAAACAACAAAAACAACAAAGCATGAATTGAAAACAACAACAGCAGCAACAGCATATAATAGCAACAACAACCAATAACAAAACAACAACAACAACAGCGAACCACCAACCTTCGTAAAGCATCTTGAGACCAAAGATGATGAAGAGAACAGCGGAGAGGTAGTGTGTTATCCAATGTGGGATGACACTTGTTGCATAGCCGAGTAGAGCTTTGAGAGATGAGAAAGAAAAATTATTATTATCTAAAATGTAATTTATTGTAATTGTGTATCTATCTATGCATATGACAATATGATACCATATCTATCTATGCATATGACAATATCTTGTCGCTACATGTTTGTGATTTACTAGAATTTTTTGTTACACGTTCGAATCGACAATCGATTTATCATTGCCGCCTGAAACACTAGCAAAACACTGAAGACCATATGCCAACTGAAGCAATTACAAATTTACTCTTCCCCACTCAAATGATATAAAGATATTACACATCTTTTGGAGAGATATCATGATAGGGATATCCGTATCTTCATTTTTTTGTTTATAGACCAGCTGTTGAACTCATTCGACTTTCATTTTCCGAACAGTCGTTTCGAAAGTTGAAGACGCTCTAAGCATTGAATTTCTTTCGTAACTGGCCGTGGTCAGTCTCTTCTGACTGGAGAGGCCATGATAGGGATATCCGTATCTTCATTTTTTTGTTTATAGACCAGCTGTTGAACTCATTCGACTTTCATTTTCCGAACAGTCGTTTCGAAAGTTGAAGACGCTCTAAGCATTGAATTTCTTTTGTAACTGGCCGTGGTCAGTCTCTTCTGACTGGAGAGGCCATCATTCATGCGCAATGTAAAAAGCTCAGAAACAAAACATTTATCAAAGTTTTGGAGTTCATAATTCTCATAATGGAGCTCTTGTCATTATCGTCATCATCATCATCACTTGATATGCTACGATGATATGATATCACCACTTCAAAACAATCATCATCATTTCATTATTTTATTTGTTTTATTTTCCAAACATAAATTATTTTTTAAAATAAATAATGATACTTCCATAACTTTGTTTCTAATAGATGCTATTTATTTTCGCCCGAAATTTGTTTTATGTTTATTAAATTCAGGATTTATAACTCAAACACATCAGACATGGTAAAAAACAAATAGACGACGAACATGAGTAACAAAGAATAAACATAGACTCGACAAACACGTGAAACACGATAAACAAATAAACATGCTGAACATGATAAACATCACAAACAGGTGAACGTGATAAACTTGATGAACGAGATAAATAAAAACACTTTGAACGTAATAAACGTAAATTATTATCTACTTGTCTAATATACTTTATGCAAGCAAATTTAAAATTATTTATACACACATACACACATATATAAATATATATACACACATATATCTACACAGATATAGATATATGAATATACATTGATATACACACATATATCTACACAGATATAGATATATGAATATACGTTTCTATTCTTTTTCATCGTCTGCCTTTGACATTTTTACGAAAAACAGGTCACATTAATTTTCCAATAATAATAATAATAATAAAACAACTATTTATTCATTTTCTGAAAAATTAGTCGTGTGTATATGTGTTTGTGCATATCTATCCATTATATAAATCTGCAGGCAGACTTTTTTGACGTGCTTCGATGGATGTTTTTATTCCTCTATCTATGTTAACGTACCATGCGTTCAAGATTAATTTAACAAAAAATAAATTCAAATAAGAGCAGCCTCATCATTAACATTAACACACAGCAAACATAGCGAACACAATGAACATGGAATATTTTAGCGTCCTCAAAACTTACACGCTTATTGCATTTTATCATATTTTTTTACATAATCACTCAAAACAATTCAAACATCGTCGGGCAAATCTAAAAATGCGATGAAATTGTTTTCAGTTCGCCCGACGCTACAAACAAATCAGCTAAGCAACCAAGGAATTATGTAACAAAATTGGTGGGTCAGATGGTTGGTGCCTGCCAACCCAGAACAAAAAAACATCGTTAATGATATTTCTCGGGTTTCTGGAAGACCCAAACAAAACATTGCACCATGGGCTGTTCATTTAATGAGTCAAGTTTAATAAACTCCTTAGTAGAAATGAATTAAGATAATCCTGCGATTATCATAATTAAAAGCGCTTTGATCTATTTTAAGAGGTTTGTTTGAGAATAATGAGCTTGGTGATAACACTGGATGACGTGTTAATGATGATTCCATCAGCACTCTATTATTGACGCATTAGAAAGTTTTGACTTAATTGAATACCCAACTACGTCATATGGTAATCAATAAAAATTCTAAGTAATCAATTTATTCCAGGACTGACTGGGAAGTCAATATACAATACATAACTTACATAATACATTGAAATTTATTCATGCCTTGAATCAATAAATGCTTCAGTAAATGTTACGATGGAAAAGTTTCGAACAATGTATCTATTTATACGAGAGCAGTAACTTTAAAATATTACAAAAATTTACATTTACTGAATGTGTACATTAACCTTTCAAAAATACAACTAACCAGATAGAACTGTCATGAGGACAAGTGCAAACATGGCTCCCAAGTAAACCACCAACCTCGAATACTTCATGGAGAAGATGGCGGCGATGAAAAATGTTTTGTCTCCGATTTCTGACACCACTATGACGCAGAGAGCCGACAAAAAAGCCGACAAAAACCCCATTCCAAACTCATCCGTGAATACGTTGTGACCCATCGTTGAGTTGGTAAACCAATCCGTAACCTATCATCGAAAAAGTTAAAAAAAATAAATAAAAAATACAAAAAGTTAATCATAAAATAATAAAAAAAGAATAATTCATTCACATACATATGTCCAATTAAACATTTCATCAACGAATAAAAATGAAATCTGAAATGATCCAAACACGTTCAAAAAACAATCGCTAACAGATAAAGCAAGCGAGTGAGGATGATGATTTGAGATCAACATGCAAATGGTAATGTGTGTCATATAAAATGTGTGTGCGTGCGTGTTTACGTAAAATATAAAAACTGTTATCAAATTTAATGAATGCATTAAAAATGATTTTTTTTTCAAATTACACATAAAGTATTACATTTTTAAATGTTTTTATTTTCGTTGAGATCGTTAAGTAGGTAACATTAACATATAAACCAGAAAGCTAGTACAAACGTTTGAACCCTTCATTCATAACATGATTGAAAATTTTTAAAGAAACATCAAAAACAACTTGAAAAGTGTTTCTTGATTGCGTTAATTTTATCAACGATCATTACTTATAATGATATAAAACGGGAAAAGTAAACCGATCAATGTCTATTTATTTTTTCACATCCAAGAAAAAGATTGTCTGGAAGAAATAGTTAAATACTACTGGAGTGCTTCTAAAAATATGCGCCGGTAAAGATTGAAACAATGACGAAATAATAATCTTCTGAACATTTCCACAACCAAATGTTTTTTCTAAACATTATTTCAAGTACAATCCAACATTTTCGAAACATCACTATAACATAGTAGTGGAATAAAACTTATGCTGAAAAGTTAGCAGTAGGACAATAGAGAGTTAAAAAAGTTTTCTCTGATATTACGATGAATTGAAATTAAGTAATAAATGAAAAAACGAACGTGTGAAACATTTAAATTTCGGTTTTATATCTAATTGACCTAGCAAATCTTTGATGGTACTAATAAGAATTATGAAGAAAACAGTTTTTTTGTTTAAAAAATGAAGGCTATATACAGCAGGACACGTATAGCTGTACGCTAGCATGCCTACGACAAAACGCTCTTTAATACGCTAGCAAGCACGTGTTTGAGGAGTCTCTTGAGTTTTGCTCTAGCAGAATTCGAGCTAGATCCCTTGCATTCGTCAACTGAAAAAACATGGAATGACTTAGCGCTCCTATTGGCTGATTTGAATTGCCATCGCTATTTATAGCGCAATTATTTGAAAAAGGCCCCCACTTGTTCCAATCCATTCACACAGTTGCCTAAATATCATAAAAGACTTGGATTATCTTTATCTTCAAATTAAAACCATGCGGACTTTTGCATTTTTTTGGGGTTATTGATGGCATAAGCTTTAATTAAAAGTTTAAGGCAATCTTCTTCATCTTCTGCAGTTTTACGGCGTTTTAGCACTAGCCTTTGTTGTGAACCTTTTGAAAAGCGGGACAGTTAGATGATATCAGACTTACTATGATTATTTCATGATGCATTACGTGAAAATATGATTAAATTTCAAGTTTAACTTATAAATTTAAAATTAAACTAATTAATATTTTAAAGTATGATTTTTACTGACAATCAATTAAAAAATTTAACATTGAAACCTAAATAACAAATTACACTATTACAGTAAATATTAAATCGAATTTATATGAATTAAATGATGAATACATCCCAATTCAAATAATGAACCGGCGGCATCGAGGTAGCATTTAAAAAGGGTGATTAAAAAAAAATAAAAGACCAACCTGAACTTACAGGTAAACGCGTTACGTTAGTAACGATTCGTTTCCAAAAGGTCATAAATATTTACCTGAAAAGGTTCTTTAATCATTTTTGGGCAGTATCTGGTTCAATCATTAATAAACAAATACTAATTATCTCTTTTTAATAACTAAAAATGTCTTTGATAACTCTTATCAATCACTTTTACCTTCAAGGTATACATAGAAATATGGTTAACAGCCATCCATAACACATACACATACATTATTTCATTTAATTTTTTAATTTTTATGTTGCCTTGTTGCATAAAAGTAGTTTATTTGTTAAAAAAGTGTTTTAAACTTTGATTTTTATTACATATATGACATGTGGGCATGTTTTTAATTTTGAATGAAACAAGAGGAAAGGATTGATTTACAATATAAAGTCCACAAGCAGTGGTAAATTATTCTGATTAAAGCTTTCATACCTTCCACAAACGTTTCAACTTTTTTCTTTATTCACTCAACTAACACATTTACATGTTCAGACATTTTCTTCCATGGATTACAATGTACAGTACAGGATGATACTGATAAATACTGATAGAAAACTGGAACATAAAAAGAAGAGTTGTATTTTTGTCATTAGATTGCTGAAGAAAGAACACGTACACGTCCGCAAATAGAACTGAACAAATTTCACACATTATTTGCAATGGAAATCTTTTTTATAGAGAGCTTGCTCTACTTTTAAACTCATAGCAAATAATTTTCACACGAATTTTCAGGTCGTATAAATTTTAGGTCTTTGCTAAATATAACTTGTTTTATCGTTTGTTGAGATCTTTGTTGAAAAAACAAGCTTAACTGCTCGCAGATTTTGAAAATAATTGAAAAATGTTTTTATATGATGTTTGTGAAATGGAGTAAAATATTTCTTTATTTTCGAAGATTTCGGTTTTTGATTAAATTTTTAAAATGGCATCTTCTATGATGATGGAGAAATTACTTAATGATGCCAAGCAACTGACTGTCCGGCTGAAGGAAAGAGACGAGATGGCCGACAAGTTGATATCAACGACGATGAATATTCAATGCAAACTCTGTTCTATGAAACAGGTTAGAAACCATTCCTTAAAAATCAATTTAAATGACTAAATTGTTCATATTAAATAAATTTTATGACTAAATCTAAAATTGAAAATAAAATGAAAAATCCAAAAATTAAAATTAATTTCAGATACAATATTTTTCCCAAATATTAATTTTTTAAATTTGGCACGATTCTATTGTTATTAATTTAAATTGTTAATTTAAGTTAAAAAAGAAAATTTTTATTTTTGATCTAAATTTTATTTCTTGTACAATGTACAAGTTACTCGTTAGAATTAAAAGACAGATATTGTCTATAATTGTATGTATGTATAAGTTTTATATGTTTTTATGTATGTATGGTATATGTTTATGTGTGAAATACATGTAAAAGAAACTGACATGTGTATGTATGCAAACCTTATTTAGTTCTAATCAGGTAAACACTTTTAATATAAACACTAGGAAGGTAATTATGAATGTGACATTTTTTTATAATGTTTAAAAAATTAATGTATCAATTTTAGAAAAAAAATTATTGAAAATTTTTATAACAAACCTTTATTCAGTATCAAAACGAAGTTGATGAACTCAACAAGACAGCAAGACACAGGCCAAAGATATTACTGATCCAGCAACTTGCTAAGGTTAATTATTTAGAATTGTTTGAAATTTTATAGTTTAAAAAACATTCCAAATGGTTGATGTTCTGAATTATATGAAAGGTATATGTGAGTTAAGAATTATTTACTAGTTAATATTTTAGCTCTTTTTAAAATGAATGACTTGAATTATGTTTGTCTAATTCAAATTTGATTAGGAAAATGCAAAGATCAGAGATTTGCAGCATGAGAACACTGAACTGAAGCAGTCCCTGGAGGAGCACCAGTCGACACTTGGAGTCATCATGAACAAGTACAGAGAACAAGTGGAGAATCTGAATACAACGCAACAACTTGAAGAAACATTTGTACGAAACAATGATAATTACTCCGAAGTAACTTTAATGCATTTGACATTTGATTGTCTTTTATACTGAGAATTTTTATATAATAGTTCTAAGGAAAATATATTTGTCAATTTCAATGATCAACCATTTTTTTCTAAAGAATTTGCATTGCAACATTCAAATTTGAAATCATTAAAATAATTGTGATAATTCTCATTTAATGTTTAATCAACACTGCTTCTTCATCATCATGATTCTGCATTCATTCTCAACACCAATTTGTATCTTCATTATGATTCTTCATTCATTTTCAAGGATTTAGAGAAGAAGGAAGAGAAGCTGAAGGAAATGGCATCCGTCATGATGATGGCATCGGAGCATTGGGAGACAAATTCCAAAGATAGGAACGAAGAGCAAAGATTAATAAATCTACTGCAGGACAAGAACAAAATAATAAGAGAAGTATTATTCAGCCAGCCACAGACTGTTGAGACGATGAAAGAAAACCAAAATGAACAAGTTTTACAACTTTCAGTTCAGACCGAAAGCATCGAAGACAATTACGTAACTCCAAAACAATCACCTCGCCTTTCGTCAGAAATCAAAGATACCCCAGAGCCACGAAAACGGACATCCATCTACCAACATAACCATTTTAACAACTCAGGTTCAGATAGTGAAAGTGAGAATGACACGTTAGTCCGGAAATCCCAGTTAAAAAACATAACTGTTATTTCGTTGTCGTGATGGCATGGATAGTTATGCACGTTACGGTATGGATGCCCCCTGTACATACATACACACATTCATATGTGCATCATTTTCATTTCTACTGGGTCAATTTTATTTATTTCCATTTTCAGTTTTTATCATTTTCAACACCATCATCGTCACCGATCATCATCATTGCTATCATCGTCATCATCATCATCACTTGTAGATTTGTACTTCATTCACAGGACAAACATCTTAGTATTTAGGGTCCTTGGACAACCAAAAATGTGCTTACAATAATTTGCTATCATCATTTCTAATGATTACATTCAGTAACTTATTTATTTATTTATGTGTCTATAAATTCTGATTAAGTGTGCTGATGATTGTAATGTTGATATGAGTGATCAATGATTGTATGCAATTTGTATTAGTATCTGTATCTTAGTATCTGTATCAGCATTTCAACTTTGAGCATGCGATACTGTCACTATCTTTATATCTTCAATTCATTCAGCAGATCCCACGCTGAATTAGTTACATACAACTCTTGAACGCTTCAGTTTAAATAAAATAATTGCAGCCCATCCAAACGTCACATGTCCTTAAGAATTTAATCTTTCTGATAACTGTAGTTTGTGTGAATTTTTAATAGGCAGATTGTACTAAATTTATTGTCACGGCGCACATACAATCTCAATCCCACCCACATACACAATGTTTGTGATGCTGCTTATGGCCTGTTATGACGTCATTATTTTAAGATTTTTATCATATGGGTATATAACGCTGACGTATTGTTGTTTTGTTAATTGCACGCACATGCAAAATGTCGAAACGTTATTTTAAATTATGAAACGCGCACACACACGCACACACGCATTTAAACTTATCCATGCGTGTTCGCCCGCTGAGGAATTCTTTTGGATTGTTGTTGAAAATATTTTATAACATCAACGAACTAAATTCTGTTTTTAATTTCCGTTGTTTCTTCTTTTATTCCAGTGTGACGTCACGCAACTGTCATTTACGTCCTGTACGTGAGAAGTACACACGTACGTACAAACACACACGCATTGCATACATTTCTTCTATTGTACAAACTTGATCCTTTATCATCCCTGCGTAAGTAAGTCGCCTGCGTTACAACAATGTGTCAGCATTCATTCTTATCATTATTAACGTACGTTTACGATCATCATTATTACATTATTTTTATTGATAGCAAGTGCGCAATAGCATATACACGCGACGCAATGTACACATACACGTATTGCATATATATATATATCACATTTATACGTACGTACGCTAAGCACGTGTTCCTATTATTAAATGAATTTGTAATGTTCGACAGTTAATAAATAGGAACGGTAACTTCAGTTAATATCAATAATTTTATTTGTTGAAACGACTTCTACCAATAATAATAGAAACAACAATAATACAAATACTAAACAATGTTAATAACGATCGTTTAAAAGGAGATGATTAGAATATTTAGCCAAATTAACCAGCAATTATTTATACATATATTAATTGTTGTTTTAAACATGTGGTCAGTATTGAACCATCTCAACTTAAACATCCTGCTTAATTTAAATATTTATTGTCTCCCATAAATTTATATTGATGATGTTAACGTATTAAACATACTTACTTAATCACAAATAATGATGGCTGATTAGTAGCTGTCATTTTCGTCATCGTTGTCAGTCATGTGGTATTGTAATCATTTATTTAAACAACCATTTAATCATCGTGAAATAGACACATATCATCGTTGACAATTATAAAATAATAATTATCTCATTCACTGATAACTTATCAAAACAAAACAAATTAACACATAGACACTCACACAAACACGCACAACAAACATACGTACGCGCAAACATAAACGCAATTTACAATTTCTCTAATAACAAAGACGTTAAATTATTACCATCACCGTCATCAACGGCACTGTTCAAGGAAGATTTAATGCCATCAGAACTGCCATCATTAATTTTACCACTACTGTAGTCGCCGGCATACTTAGCGCCGACATTGCCATTAGCATCGACGTTCCCATTAAGTGGTACCTCTTGAAAATTTGGCGTGTCACCGGCGGGATTAATGAGGGACACTACAGGGACTGCTTCGCCATGCTTCGGCGGACGATTTTGCCGGTAGGACTGATTTTTTTGGCAACGTTTGCACAGGATGAAATCAATGAGACTGGTCAGGATCAAATGGATTATACCTGATGTTGAAGTTTGATTCGATAGTGTTAGTAGTTGCTGGTGATTTTAATGACGATGGTGATGATAATTACAATATTGACGATGGTGATAATGATGGATGACGATCGCGTGGACTCAGCTTTTTAATTTAAACATTTATAGGCTATGCTGATTTTTCAAATAATCGCACTTGTTATCAGATGTGACATCAACACCAATTAATAATATTATCTCCACGAATTATTTACAACACAACAACAACAACAACAATGATGAGACTTTGAAAACGAGAACTGAACTAAGTCGTTTCCGATAGGGTCATCACTTGTCACTGAGGTTACAGGGTTCCGTTAGACCTCACAGATGATGGCAAATGCAGATTGTGTGCGGAGAGAATAATGAATTAGTCCCGCCCCTATGGCTTGATTGTCAGGCCATTTCACAGCTAAGAAAAAGGTATGGACTGGGTAATGATTTCGGTAAACTCAGCGAACGCCCATTAGAGGCAGTAGAAATGGTGTTAAAGATACTGGACACACTGGAGAAATACTAGTCTGAGAACAACTACAGCAACCACAACAACAACAATAATAATAGTAAGTATACATAGTATAGTAATATTACTACCACAACTAAAAGTAAATAATAGTAATAAAATCAGACCTGAGGTTGAATATATACCGCCTATGATGCCGCACAGCCTTATAAGAAGCTGTATCAGCGATGTCGACCTCTCAACCACCTGGTCGGTGATATGATCATTATATTTAATAACAACAATAATAATATAAATTAATATTATATAATAATAAAAATAATAAAATAATGAGAAAAAAATAATAATAACTGATATTTATTCACTCAGTTAATCCGAACTATGTAATTATCAAACGTCATTATTCTCTCACTCATTCATTGATCAAATGAAAAATAAATCAATTTATGATTGGATGAATGAATAAATTAATTAATTAATCAACCCCTAAATAAAGCCCAACTGACCTTGACCCTTAAAGGTGAAAGGTCATATTTGATGTAAATGCCTGGGAGGCCGTGACTACCTTTGGCGTGGCTTATCGTGCGATTCTATAAATAGAAGCGATTCTAAAAATAGGTGCGATTCTATGAATAAATATTATGTCATGACCACACTCATAACATTCGCCACAATCATCACCACCACGTTCATAGTCACAATAATCATAATCACCACCATCTCCATCATCATCATCCTTACTTGTTCAGTTACGGCGTATTGATATGCATCATCACCATCATTAGATGAAAAATGCGACTGAACCGTCGGAACGACTTGTACAAAGTACTGGAAGATGTGATTGGCTGGAGGGAGTCACGTGAGTAAATAATGATAATAATAATAACAATAACAACAATAATTGATTGATTGATTGATCATACAATAATAATAATAATGGAAAATCTTTTATTTCGTCTAAAATCCTTATCAACATGTATAAAAATGAAAATAATTTATGATAATAATAATAATAAGAAGAAGAAGAAGAATAATAATTCCAGTTAACAATCATGGGTGATCTTCTCCTCGGCGTCCAGTGGGTTTATAATGCCTCCATTCTCATCACCGAAACTGAAGTGGAGGATTCTATGGGAGAAATTGTAATCTGGAATGAAAAAATATAACCATGAAAAATTATTATTATTTGCATTGTTGATGTAATTGATATATATATATATATATATATATATATATATATATATATATATATATATATATATACATACATATACATGCAAATGTTAAACATATATACATTAAATATATTAATAGATTGTTAATACGGATTAACTAAGAGTTAATTACGTTAGAAACTATACATATATCAATCAATCGATCAATCAATCATTCATTCACTGTACGCACAAACTTTTGATAAATCATGACTTAAGTAAAAATGAAAGAAAAACAGCTTATGTTGAAATGTCAACAAGGTAGTTAAATATTAATATATGGATAGATTGTTAGCAAATAAGTTTACAAACGCTATGCGATTGTCAGACTAACACAATGAGTAAGAGATTAATACAGTGATTAAGACAATGATTAAGAGATTAACGCAGCGATTAAGAGACTAACTCAGTGATTAACTCTACGATTCAGTGATTAATAAATTATTTAGTGGAGATCTGTACATTTTGTGGAGGCCCTCAATTGTATGTGGAGGATCTAAAAATTTTCTGGAGCTCCTAATTGTCCAATTTTTTTAGTGTAAATTTCTTGCTTGTAAAAAAATTGGCGAGCTTTAGTTGGCTTTATTGCCCAATTATTCAACGATTATTTCTTGATCTGAATCATCGTTTTTTTATTCAAAATTATGTTGAAGTTACATTCCATCATTCTTGTGAAGGTACTTTTTTATATATTAATGATAGGAAAATCATTCGTGGAGTCCTTGTGTCACTTGTTGAAAATCACCACATTTCAACTACTACAAAGAGTTAAGGATAAGGTTTTGTGGAGGTCGATGGTCGCCAATGTCCTGAAAAGATGAGGAACGAGAAAAAAGAAGAAGAATGATACAGCCTTACATGGTACAATGTTATGGCAGTGGGATACGTTGATTAGGTTTGGCGAGTAACTTTAAAAATTGGAAAAAAACAATTGAAATGTTAATTTAACATTCGAAACATAGCTGCTAGTGATGATTTTGAATGACATATCGTAATTAATTGATTATAGTTAACAGACAAGAAGTTAACCTCTGAAAGAACGTTAGAAATTATTAAAAAATAAAAAAAAAACAAACTAACAAACAAACAAATAAATAAATTAGTAAATGAACAAAGGAACGAATGAATGAATAGATGAACGAATTAATTAATTAATAAACGAATTAATTAATTAGTTAACTAAATAATTAATCAATCAATCAATCAAATAATTAATTGAAACTGAAAAGTATGAAACAACAAACTTTCTTCGTCAGAGAAACTTAAATGTAGGTGCGAGCCAGCTACATTTAAAGCCCTACGTGTGTTACATTGTGTTGTGTTACAATTGAAAATAATAATAACTAAATGATAATAATAATAATTATAATAATAATTATAATTTTTAGAAAACAATGATTATAGCTATAATACTACTACAACTGAATACTGCTAGCTCCCTTTACCACTACTACTTCAACAGAACTACTACTACTACTAATGTTAATACTGATGTAATACTACAAATCCCTTAATTACAAATAACATCAGCAATAATAAAATATAATAATAATAATAGTAATATAAAGAATAAGTGCATATTTGAATAAGGGTGCTGAATTTTTGCATTGTTGTAAATCTGTGGAAATCACTGCACTAATAATAAAAATAATAAACATAAAGAACTACAAAAAAATAATTTATCAAATGGAAAAATAATAGAATTAGAAAAGTGAAAATGAAACTGAAACTAGGACTAAAATGTTATCATGAAAATTTTGATGAGAAGGTCGCGTTGGAACGGTGAACTTAAAACTAGAAATCATGCAAAAATGAAAAAAAAATCAAAAGAATTTTTTTTTGTTAGAAGCTGCCACACTTGTTAGGACACACACAAAAAGAATACTACTACTACTAACTACTACAACTAACCACTACTACTACTAACTACTACAACTAACTACTACTACTAACTACTATTACTACTAATAATAATAATAATTTCCCCACCCGTATCTCTCATCATGAAAGAGAGATGCACATGACCTCTTGGAAAAACCGGTAATGACCTGGTTTCAGTTTCAGTTTCAAACATATATAATGAATAAAATGTCTAAAATGAAAACCAACGTTGGTTGCCGATAATGATAAATGATGATAATAATAATTTCTGATTTATTATTTCATTGGACAAATTTTAAATCCTACAAAAAAACTACAAATAGGTTTTAAAAAACTTGCAACTTAAGAACCAGCTATATTTTAAACTTTACAAAATTAAATAAAAATGATAACAAAACGAGTTCTTAAACATGAATTTGTTATTTGAATTTGTTTACTCAAAAAATTGATGAAAAAACCTACCTTATACTTATGAAACATTATAAATAGCACATCATTAAATCACATCATAGCCACATCACACCACATCCCAACCCATCATGACACATCATCCTATCACACCAGAACGACTAACTTTCCAGCGGTGATATGAAAGTTACCGGCCACCTTGTTAACCTCGAGACTTCCATGGAAGCGACATCCATCCACATCCTCCTCTTTCACTTTTGACGAAGTGTCAGGCCTGCAAACGAGTTTAACATAAATTTCGTTATTATTATTTAACTGGTTGAAAACACTTTATTTTGCTAGTTTGGCTAGAGCCTCATTGAATTGTAAAAAAATATGCTGTATAAATATATTTGATTGATTGATTAACCGATGAAAATATATTATCAGATAAAACATAACATGTTTAATAGAATAATAAGCCAAAGGTAAACATTATAAGCCATCTAGTATTTATATATTAAAAAAAAATCATATCCAAATAAATAAAATAATAGAAACAAATAAACTAACTTAAATGAAAAAAGATTTTGAAATGAATAAAATGATCCAAATTTTAGTTGGGACTTCCAGAGGTGCTCATGTATGGAGTGATACTCTTGTCTGGCATAATCATTAATGCTCTTCATGTTCTTGAATGACACCTGCTGGCTTGGGGTCAGATCAAAATTCATGGACTGTTCTTCTAGGTTACCCATCTTGTCTGCATTTTCACCAAGTATGTCTAATATGTCTGCACCCACATCTGTGTGATGTACAAATATATATATATATATATATATATATATATACACACACACATATATATATATATTTACACACACACACACACATATATATATATATATATATATATATATATATATATATATATATTAAAACATTTTTCAAAATTTAAAATAAAAGATATAATATAAATTATATTTTTTAAATATATTATTAAATAAATTATATTATTAATGATGATAGATTGGTTTTTATATTTTATAAATGTTTCATTTCAAAGTAAACAGAACAAAATGAAAAGCAAATTAATAAAAAAAATTAAAAGTTTAAAATAATAAAATTAAAGAAGAAACTAACAAGAACATTTCATGGCTACCATGATATCAATGTTCAATTTCAGCTTTCTGAAAAAAATGATCATGAATCATTTTATTAAAACTAAATGATGAAGTCTACAAAATCTAAAATTAATATTAGTTAAAAAAAAGGAGATCATCTGTCTTACTTACTTATCAAAGTTGGGGTCAATATCGTATTCATATCTGACTCCCTGATCCAAGAAATAGTTGATCTCAAACACAACAAGCATGGTTATCAGGGAGAACACAACCAATGATACTGAAATTTTTTTAAATATTATCAATCATTGAATTAAACTTAAACATTCTACCTACAACACAACTACAACTGATACTAACATCCACCGCCAGATGCTGTACATTCCTGATGGTCCTCCTCAACTTTTGGAAATGCATCAAACTCCTGGATTATCTTCGCTAAATTTTTTCTTTGTCTCAAAATACTCATGTTTAAAAACGCGACAGATCATTAAAACAGTTGTTTCACGTTAAACAATCATTTATCGGCTTCCTAGTTTTAATGTCTGTGAACGAGTCAATCGCTGATTCGCCGTTTAAAGCAATTTGTTTGCTTAAAAGCAAACTTAATGGTTAAAAATGAACTTCGGTTTGAAAATGATATTTTCTTCTGTTAAAAACCACCAGAGAGGCTAATTACCACGTTATTATTATGTATGTATAAATATATGGATCAACAAAACACCGGTTCATTGATAGCAGCTTGGCATTATTGCTAAATTATTAAAACTTACATGAATTAAATCAAATAAATAGTTAATTTACTGATTCACCCGCTATTCATAATGTTAGCCTATCTTAGTTAGTTACATAGGTTACATACATGCAACATCCAATAGTTTTATATATTCATACATATGTGATATATTATACGTATCAGTATTCTAACAACCGTATATTGTTATCAAAATCTCCTCATTTTGACATCTGTTTCAAGATAATATAAGGTACACTAGGTAGGTAACATAAAAGTGTATGTAGTTGTACAATTCCAATCAATATTCGCTTGTAATTCAATAGAAAACATTTCATTTATCTTCTTTTTATACTTGTTTCATTTAACATTATTATTTATAGTTAGAACAAAAAATTAATTAGCGAAATGAAGATTAAGATTCACGCAGTTATAAATATTGATGCGGATATGATCTGATCGTGTAAGATATAACGTAGAAACCATGATCAGTATTTTGTTGCTCTTGTTCACCATCATAATTATTACATGCATATATTTCTTATTCCAAAGACATAATAAAGTGAGTTAATTGTTACTTAAAACTAATAAATAATTACTGTGTAAGTATTTTATGATTTTAGCATATAATAATATTACCACTATTAATAATACATTACAATTGAACAATCGAAATGAATGACTTCTAAAACGTTGCTTCCAGGTAACCATCAATGACGCAACCGAATTGTTATACCTGTTTGAAAGAAATAAAGTTAGTATGTTGACGATACCAAATTCAACATAAAATAATTCCATTCCGTATGCAAACATTTTTAAAAAGTTTCTAAAATTACAATATCTAGTTAGTTATGTTCCATATTATTAAAAAAAAGAATAAACCAAATTGTCAATGTCAGGTTTTACCAATAGACCCAACAAACAAATGGTCCTTAATTGAAGTTAGAAACACTTTGAGGGTATGGTCTCGAACTTTGACACCCGGCCGTGACTACTCCTTGTTGAAAATTCAGGCTTCATTCGCGATTCTTAACGATTCTTTAAATGTAAACTTTAAAAATTTCCATTTAAAAATTATTTTGGTAATCTTTGTACTGCGGGCCGATTAATCGTTTTGTTGTAATTACAGATGGTGTGTGTCTATGTATGAGTGTCTGTTTGTGTGATTCTGTCTGTGAGCCTGTGATAAATGGGAAAAAAATAATCAGGAAATATTTATGATGATTGACAAGTCGGAAATAACAACTTTTGAATATTCAATAACTAAACGTTTTCAAGGTGGTGTGTAACATTATCAGAGATTCCAAAACTCAGAAAAATTGGAATTCTATGATTCCAATGAATTCAAAAATCAGAGTTATCCCACTACAAGCGATTGAAAACTTTGGAAATTTTCAAAAAAGATCAAATATTTCAATCGAAACTAGTAACTTCAATAAGGAAAACGTAACATTAGAGAGAAAAAAATATCGAAGTAAGGATGGAATCGTTGGATTTGCTGGAAATTGGATCAACAATTTTCTTCTTGATGTCGACGTAGAGAGGTTAAAACAGTGCAAATAAGATTTAATAACTAATTTATTTAAATCATAATAACATATCATTCGAAAACTTTTGAGAATGTAATAATTTTGCGTTTGAAGTTAACAAAATACACGAAATTAATAAAAATTGGCGTTTTAGCATTTTAAAACAAGAGACGGCCTTCATAAACGCTGATTTTTAGCTGGCACTCTTTTAGAAGCAGATGTGAAAAACTTTGAAATTAGATCAGGCTTGAAATATATTGAAAATTATTGCCAGATCTTGGCTTCAACAAAATGAAAATGTTTTCTGGCTTTTGGAACATCCGAAAAATTTTGAATGGTGGATCTTCTACCTGGTAACCACTATCGACGATCAAAAAGGTGTTTCTTAAATAAAGTTCTTTTAGCAAAAAAGAAATAAACAAATACTTTTTCTTCAATAATTTTAGCCGTTTCGCTATTTATCTTATTTACTAGTGAACCAAATATACATTTTTGGATTTGTATATTCCAGATAAATGCATACTAAACGTCATAACAAACGAAAGTTATGCAAAACCAACACACCTGTTGGCCATAATTTTCGGTAAATCTCAAATGTGGATAAACCATCCATCTGATCTCATCATGGGGTTTCGAGATTTCATCGAAAATGAGAAAAGCACAAACTCTTTAGCATTTTCTCAGTTTCTAAACAGCATTTCGGAGAACCAGCAGATAAACTTTGCCACTGATGCCCACGGTAGTTTAGGAAAATCTGATGGAAATTTTCCAAAGCGTAAGAATCCTGATGACTTAAAGAATAGTGACATTTCGTTTTTTCAAAAATTAAAAAATATGATTGAAGAAAAAAAAGATGAAGTGGAACAAACTACAGCCAAGTTGAGAAGAAGTTTTTCGAATTCTGATAGTTCCGATTTGAAAGGTGACGGTGAAATCTCTCTCAATCCCATTGAAATAATTAAAAGAATCAGCTTAACAGGGATTTTATTTGACGATAAAAAGAACGAAACTGAGGTTCACGCCGATTTGAACGATGCGATGCCTATTAAGGTAAGTTTTTTATATTCCAAAATAATCTAACAATTCTTTACTTCAGAAAAATATTCATTTTAATTTCAACTTTCTAGAAAACAACCGATGGAAAAAAAGGATGGAGAGATATCTCCGATGCTATTTCAAAAATCGCCGATGAGAAGAAAATTTCGAAAAACGCCGCGCACAGAACTAACAAAGATCAAATCTCCGAAATCGATGGTAACGTAAATATTTGAAAGTAGTAACTGTTAATAAGACCGTGTCAAATTTTATATGAAACCCGAATTAAAATTTTTTAACTAAACTTCAACGATCTTATTACTAAGAAGCTGATTCATTTTTTTAAAGAAGCCGACAGAGATTTGATTCAATGCTTGGATACAATGATCGATAATGCTGCACTGGACGTTATTGCTGAGGTCGTTGCAATCGTGCCAACTATTAATTCATAGCTAGTTTTTTTCTTCTAAAAATAAAATAAAATAACGAAATTACTTACACTTCGTTTAAAATTTAACTAAAAATGTTTCTTCAAATGTTACTAAAAATATTTCATCAATTTACCTTACAATCAAACCTACGCAGAACGGTAAAATAGCCAACCTGAATATAAAATCCAGTTTGGACGACCAAGCCATACAATCCGGCGGATGGGTGTATGAAATTTTTCCTGATACTATAAAATTAACATCGGATTATTTGATCATTTAATGATTTCATTTTGCTGCTCTTAAGACCAACAAGTTTAAAAAACCACAATGTTTAATGTTTAAAATTTTTATTGATTTAATCTTTCTAGGTATTGCGGCCTGGAGAAGGATACGGTCATATTGAAGAAATCATCTGATCTGACTATTCCTTTGCACAGGTGTTTGCTAGGCTTCTGATCTTTTTCGGATATCTTAATTTTAAAAAATCAATACAAATTTTAAAACATAAATAATAATTTTAAAAAATAAATGTTTAAAAACGTGCAAATGAATAGTTACATAAGCAGAGGCATGATATCCTGTCCGCCTAAGATGATCTATGAACTTCTCATTTCTCCAACAAGTCGATTAACATATGATGATGCTATCAAGGTGTGTTCATCGAAATTTAATTATTATATTAATTACTAAGCACCTAATTACTTAATTATTTAATTAAGAATTAATTATCAATTACTAATTATTTATTACCACATAACGATTCTACACACATATAGTCAGAAAAAATAGTTAATAAAACTGAATTCTACAAGGATTAATAAAAATAGTGTATTGAAATACCACAGTGCTTGTAATAAACGCGGTGAAATTTGCTGGATAAATCATTATTTGAATGAAAAAACTTGTATTCTTTCAGGATGTTGAGGTAATAAAAGAATTCGATTGCGGAATAAAAATAGGTTAGATTGGGTCGTTTGTCTCACCTACTGTTCGAAATAATCACTTATTTTTATCATAATTGACTAAATTTAAAACATAATAAAAAATCGAAAACGAAAATTAAAAAAAACTTTTGCATTGAATTAATTTTGCAACCCACTAACACCGATCCAGTCCGCCTACTGTACGAGATAGGACAGAACTTCAAGAGGGAATTGCACGAGTTTGTGGTGTTGCAGGGCGAAAGAATGGAGGGCATGAAGCACATCATTACCCTGCAGTCAGTCGACTGGGACTACCTGAGCAGCAAGGCAAGCAGTGCAAACAAAACTGGCGATGCAAATTTTTCAACAAACGCCAGTAGCTGCGGCGTTAGTTACTGCGGTGGTGGTAGTGAGAACTTAAATGGAAGCAGGAAAAATTCAACTTCGAGATCAACGGAAACGTCTGACGCCCTGAAGATGAAGTTGCCCCGACAGAAGCAACAACTACAACAGAGGCAGCAGAACCCGAAAAAGCAAATCATTGATGATGCTATCCGAGCAAAAGTTTCTGGAATAAGTTTTAAATATAAATTTTTTCGATTTTAAAATTTCGTATTTTCAGTAATCGTTGTATCGCCGATAGTTTTTAAATAGTTACCAGTGAAAAACTTTTAAAGAAATCATTCATTCGTTGTAACTGTAGAAGCGCAGTTCAGTTTGGCATTTATAAGACTAAAACAAACTGCTTCAAAATTTATTAAAAGATGTTTTCAAGCGGTTGGATAATTGAGCCAGTCATGAAGACGGACAAGTTGTGTTCAATGGTCACATACATTTGTCAGGTTTTAAATTTTTTTGAATGGTTTGTCGTGTTTGCTGAAAGTAGTACTATCAAGACAATCTAATATAAACTATCTAATACGAAGTGGTAAATTTGTTTTTTTTTTATAACTGAGCTTTTTCAACAGCGCCATTCATTCTGGCTACAAAACTTTAATTTACACTTAACTTTTTTCTTAATATTCAAGAAATTTTATTTACTTTTATGTAACTAACGTTCCAAATTTTGAGGTGTTTTTTAACAACAGGATTTCAGCAAATAAATTGCAAGTTACACAATTTAAAAATTATTCAATTTATTTAAAATTAAAAAAATTTTAAAAATGTACTGGAGCAGATGCAGCTGGGAGCAGGCATGCGCCAGGGACAGACGTACATGTCGGAAGAAGTTGCAGTGAAGCAGCCACTCTGCATCGTCCACCTCCGCAACTACATCGCCAAGACGGCCGCCAAAGATGACGCGAGCAACAAAATGACGGACAATAAGAGAAACAATTCCGTCACTTTGTCACTTTCGAACGCGTTGGCGAGATTTAAGAATGGATCTGTTGATCGAGTTGATGAGGAGGAAGAAGAGGAAGAAGAAGTGGAAGAGGAAAAAGATTTTGGGAGAGAAGTTCTTGTTTAAGGTGATGCAACGTCGTAAAATTCAATTTAAATATCATTTATTTTTACGGTGCAATGATTGTATTTGATTTTGTCACTTGAATTTTCAAGTTTTCAGACTATTTTAGTAAATAATTTAGAGCAACAGTAAATCTTTCTTATGTTGGCTGGTTATTCACTGTTAGAAAAGTTTTCATTTTTCAATTAAGCATTTTAACTAAGTAGGTAGAAAGAAATCGTAAAAAATTAACGAAAAATTGCTGTTTAATTATTGCAACGGAAATATTTTTCTAAAAAATTTATTTAAATGTATATATTTTAACCTTCATGTCATGGCCTTAAAAGTGTTTTTACAATTAAAAATGAATTTGTTCACATGCTGTTTATGTATGTATTTTACGTTGTCAACTTATTCATCTAGCAACACCAGTATTTAGCTGTTAAACGATTGATGATGGCCATACACACGCACACATACACACACACATACACAACACACGCACACATACACACACGTACGCACGAAAGAACGAAATTATGCTATAAATCAGGAGTGGGCAAACTGCGGCCCGCGAAGCTATTTTATGTACACATGCCGCCCTCCAATGGTAAAATAGTTCTCACACCCCTACTATAACTAACAACACATAAATAAAATATATCCGTTGTTATACAATTTTTAATAATAATTTCACTTTGAATCAATGAATGACGTTAAAAATTTATGAATATTAATAATTTATAACTTCTTGTTTGTCACTCGCTATAAACTGTTCTTTCTTCATTGAATTCTTTTACATTTAAGATGTCTATCGACTGATTTTGATTTGAGTTAGGTGGGTGGAGCTTATTTGGGTTGGGAATTTTGACGAGCTGTATTTAAGGTTATCACTAGATTACTAATATGATTACTAATATTTAATACTTTGAAAATTTACTGCAATACAAATTTAATACATTACTAACTTAACACACAGCAACTTAATATATTGACCATTAACTAACTTTTATTTTACTAACTTATTACATTACAAATTTACTACTTTAATAACTGATTACATTTCTAAATTTCAACATTGCAATTTATACAAATTCATCACATTACATACATTACTAATGTGCTGCTGTAAATTTTACTAAGTTACTAACAAACTATACTACGTAAGCAAATCACACGCTAAGTTTTATTGCAAAATTTTTAGCAATAATTTTTAATTCAGTTTCATCAGCTTGATTAATAAAATTAAAGTTATAGAAAATTTTGTGAATAATCTGAGAAAATAATAATAATAATAAAATATTAAAGATTAAATCAAGGAAAAAATTGAAACTACTACTACTACTACAACAACAACAACTACTACTACTACTACTACTACCACTAGTAACCGCTACCACTGCCACAACTTCTACTGCTATCGCAACCTCTAACGCTACCGCTGACACTACTTCTGCTACTGCTACTACTACTACTACTACTACTACTACTACTACTACTACTACTACTACTACTACTACTACTACTACTACTACTACTACTACTACTGCTACTACTACTACTACTACTACTACTACTGCTACTACAGCGTTGCTTTACAGCGTCCGGCGCAAATAAAATAAATAATGAATAAAAGATTTATAATTAAAATGAAAATAAAATGAAATGAAACGAAATGAAAAACAAAGACACTAATAAAATCAGAGATGTGCTGCGCGGGAAAGAGCATTTGTTGCAAAATGTAGAATCACACCAGCACTCAGTTTTTGTGGTGTTGACGTCAACTGTCGTGTCCAGGCAGTCATTTTCTAGCGCTTTACTATCCGTAACGCAGTCACGATTAACTGATAACAGATGATCTGATAAAGATAGATGATAAAGATGAAGAAAATAATGATGATGATGGTGGCGATGATGAAGATGATGATGAAAATGATGATAATGATGGCTACGATTTATGCTGTTGTATATGATAATCTCTAAACGGTGTTGACACTTCTATGCAATTGATGAGCACTTGCTGTTACCCTAAAAAGTTTCGTCAAAAATCATCACAAATAACTTTCGCCGAACGAATATCCGTTAGCACTTATGATAAAATAAATCACCAATTAATCCTTTTTTAAATTAAAACCATCAAAAATAATTTCAAATATCTACTAACCATTAACTTTAGTGAAAGAAGTAAAACAATATTTTAAAAAATTACTAACCATTAACTTTAGTGAAAGAAGTGTAACAGAAGCCACTATAACAGGAGACAGAGCTATAAAAATTCGTGACGTCAACATCGTCGGTAATGAGCTTATCGTAGTCGAATTTGGCGCTCTCGCAGACGCCATTTGAACCATTGGCGGACTCGCACTTTACGCAGAACTTTTCACCAATATCAGGACTTCCCCCAGAGGTGACGGTGGTGAAGATGGCGAGGAAGATGATTGTCATTGGAAAGATTGGATGGTGGTGTCTCTTTGAATTTATAACTGACATTTTTTTATTTCATTAATGATTAATCGATGATTTTAATTTTTATTGCTATTATAATTAATATTATTATTGATGCTGCTATTATTATTGTTATTTTTATTTACATTATTAACTGTGAATGCTCGCAAGCAACTTCATTTTATGAGGTTTTATGGCCCATCAGTCAAAAATGTGCCATTACGCAAGAAAACTTGAGTGAAATTTTAACAATTTTTATAGAGTTCCGAATACATAATTGATATTAATAAAATAAAATAAAATTAATTAAATAAATTACAAACACAAGTAACAATTATATTCCGGTTCGCATTGGAGATCTTACGAGAAATGAATTAACTCCTCTTATAATTCTTATATAAACATTTGTTTGGCAATCACGTGACTAAAATGAATAAACAAATATACATATACTGCTATAATCTTTATACATATGTACACATACTTATATATATATAAATATAAGTATGTGTATATATATAAGTATGTATATATATATATTTATTTATATATATATATATATATTTACATATATAGTGTTGTGTACTAATTACACAATAAACTTAAAAAATCTCACGCTGGGAAACATGAGAGTGTGAGATTATAATTTAATAATATATTATACAATAACATGCAAGTGAGGAAAGAGAGAGAGAGAGAGAGAGAGAGAGAGAGAGAGAGAGAGAGAGAGAGAGAGAGAGAGAGAGAGACAGAGACAGAGACAGAGAGAGAGAGAGAGATGGAGGAAGAAAATAAGAAAATAATGTGTGAACGACGTTAAAAGTTTCAAAAGAGAATCATAAAAAAAATTGTATGAAGTATTATTTAGAATCGCCTGATTATATGGTTTAGGACAATTTAAAAAAAAAATAAAAAAACGCCTGTTCTGAGTTGCACTTGTGATTAAAAACCTTTACACCATGGTATTGATAATGTAAAGAACTCATTTTTGTAGCGCACATAAAACTTCTTTTTGGGCAAAAATACCATTACAATGCCTTACCCTACCAAGTTCTAACTAACCCCTCTAACCTCCAAAAATTAACATTATACACTAACTGACTGGCTGACTGGCTGGTTGGCTGACTGACTGACTGACTAACTAACAGACTAACTAAAGAACTAACCTCTAAAAACGAGCGTTATACACTGAGGTGTTTGTTCTATTAATTATTATTTGCATGTTTATCTAAATATTAAAAAATAATTCATTCGGTTTATCTCTGTTTGAAATTCCTGTCTCTATATTTTCTTAATGAAACTGTTATTTATCTAAGTTATTTTGGCTGTGAAATTCTAATCTTGAAACTGTACGAAACAACTCATTGAATGGCTAAATGATGATTAGTGGGTTTGAGTCATTTTAAATAATGTGATGTCATTGGAATGCAACGCTGAATGTTGGTTAGTTAATAAAAAAAGAAGAAATCTGATGAGAAGAATATTTTCTATTTTTAATTAATTGATTATCTATTAAAATAAAATTTTTATTAATTCTGGTTATTTCTAGGTATTATTTTTTTATTTATTTGAATTATTCATAGTGTGTTTATTTTGTCTTAAGGCTTTATTTTTCTATCTTTATCAGATTCTAAGTATGTTATGAGTGCAGTTTATGTTTTATTTTAATTAATTTCACGAACGTGACAAACTTAAACTTATCCTCTTTATCTCTCTCTCTCTCTCACTCTCTCTCTTTTATTCGTTCATTTACTCATTTTTCCTTCGTTCGTTCATTCATTCATTCATTCACACATTCATTTATTTATTCTTCCTTCCTTCATTAACTCAATCATTCATTCATTAATTCGTTCATTCATTCTTCCATTTTTTTATCCGTCAAGATTAATCAATGCCGGCAAATAACGGAGTAATGGATGGATCGATGAATGGATGGATGATTGCAAAGGCTTTAAATTACATAATCATATTGATTGCACACTGACGATGACGATGAAGACGACGACGATGATGAATGCGTTGTGGTGATTGTGATCATGACTTCGTGGTGATGATGATGATGATAATGATGTGATGATGATGATGATGATAATGATGAGAATAACACATTTGCAACACAAAAAACTTTTTATTTGTTCAGGATCTAATAACAAACCGGAGTTAATATTTTCGTATAAACATAAAAAAGGACACACAAACACTCACCACACACATTTTCACCACAAACTTTCACCACACACACTTACACGCACATATATACACAAACATATAGAATAAAACAAACTCAAGATAACAATCATAGGCATACAGACGAATGCAAACACAAATATATCTGTAATAAAACTGACATACAATCTAACATAAATACGCACCACACACATACACAGCACACACACACACATGCACACACGCACGCACATACACACCATACACGCACACACGTACGCACACACGCACGCACACACAGATAAAAACATAAAAAATTGTCATTACAATAAAGCGAAACGCGGTTGTTTTTTTATTACGTAGAAATGGCCCTCCAGCGTATCATTTATCTCAGTTATTAATTTTAAATGATTGCCGTATAAACAACATACAAACACATACACAAACATATATATATATATATATATATATATATATATATATATATATATATATATATATATATGTTGGCAATAGACTATAATTTTTACAATATTCTATGAATTAATTAATTTAATTTATAGAATATATATATTTCTGTGTGTATGTCATTTTAAAAATGTAAAAACATATTAAACGTCTGATTTTGTTTATTTTACATCGTATGTATACTAAATTATAAAAAATACAATTATGAAAACATTCTACTTGTGTCTCCAAAAACTACATTATATATATATATATATATATATATATATATATATATATATATACACACACACACATACATACATACACACTGTTCATTAATACAAAATTACAACGCTTATACAAAGGCTACAAAAAACATCCTATCAAATATTAGCTATCTAAATACATTGATACACTACAACAGATAGATTGATTGACAGATAAACACACATTATAAACTAGATATATATATATGGTAGATATAAAGTATCTATATACATATTTATGCGTATAAATATAGATATACCTATATACCTATATATAACAGATATACACTGGTATGTTTAGATGTATGCTATTTATTTCACTGCAATTATATTTAGTGGCTAGCTATTTTGTTTATCATCAAAATATAATAGTTATTTATTTGTTTATCTGTTTGTTTTTTTATCTGTTTGTTTGTTTTAAGAAAACAAAAACAAAAAAATATTTATTAATAATAATAAGGTGTAAGACTCACAGTAGTAAAATATTTTTAAAATTTCAGAATCGCGGTTATTTTCACCAGTTTTTTTCCTCTCACTAGTTCATGGTGCTTTTAATTTCGCAGTAGTGCTCCTTGCAGAGCCACCTTATTTCTCGATCTACGTAGAGCGGCCGCAGACTGCCGAACCTACTCGACGAGTTGTCGATCCTTAAATAGCGGCACAACATCATCCGACTGGACGTTGACGCCGACTGGAATATCGTGTAAGCGTTCACCGGGTTGTTCACCTTGGTTTTTAAATGGAAATTAGAAATCATTTTTGTTTATAAAAAATAAAAAAAAAATATTTTTTAAAACTTCATCTCCATGATTATAACGTTTACGAAACAATAAAAATACTATTAAAACGTTCATGATTATGTTTAATAATATTAAAATAAATTTATCCAACTTAAATGCTTATAATAATGATCGGTAAAAATATTTTACGCAATAGAAATGAGAAAGACCTTGAAGTAAAGGTCAGACATTCCGTCCCCGGCGGCAGTAAGCACCTTGGACAACATGGTCAGCACCCTCTCCTTGTTCTTCAGCAACCATGCCACAGGGTCAATAACGTGGCCCTGGTTGTTGTGATGGTGCTGTCCAAACTCGCCACTTCGTAAGTACTCATAGTTCTTGATCAGTGTGGGAATGATTGGAGCGATCAGTCTGACGTTGCAGGGATGTTCGGGAATGCCGTGGATGGCCTGCACCAGCGGTAGGGCGAGTGTCACCAGGCGGGAAAGTTGCTCGCCACCGGAGAATTTTGAAAAGTGGGCTGATCTGAGAATATTATGGGTGAAATTAATTAAGGTTGTGGTGTATATACGCACGATGTTGAAAAATGTTTTTGTCTATTTCACAAAAACGCCGCAAAAAAAATTAGTTATAGAAAAAATACTGTTTTCTTTATTTATTATTATTATGATAGTTTAATTGTAAAGTAATATTTATCATACAAAATGGTTCAGTAATTGATATAAAATGATGATTCAAACGCTAATTTTGTAAAAATATATTAAAATTTTATTTTTTTAATAAAACAAAATTTTTTTTCTGGAATTTCAAATAAATAAAATTTAGATTTTTGTTTAGACAATGTGTCCGGTGAGATCGGGCGAAATTAAAACGATGTACGCTTGATTGATGGATGGCCATGCGATATTGCTTTAATCAAAGTCTGATCTGTCTATCTTCATCGTCATCATCATTGTAATCATCATCATCATCATCATCGTAATCATCATCCTCATCATTATCATCGACATCATCATTATCACAGCCAGCATTGCCTTTATAATCGTGACGTGAGGTGCATTGCGGATGTTTTCGTAGCAGTTTAAAAAAACGTTTGAATAAACATCAGCTTAAGTTTTGTTTTCCATCAACACGTACTCACTCATCCTATGCGTTGATTCTATTAAATTACGGTCAGCATGACAAACATCGCAGTCGATAAAGTTGTTTTTCAGTAATCAAAGTATATGAACATTGACTAACCTGTTTATGCGATATCCAACATCGTCAGTGAAATGCCAATGGGAGGTGTATTCGCACAAAAAATGAACTTCCAAGCCTTCGAGGAATCCAGTCTTTGAAAAGAGGTACCAGTCCCTTGTGGTCACAGTGGCACTAGGTGGAAGTATGATCACCAATCTTGGATGTTCATAGTCCGGTAGTACGGTCAAACTGACCGTTGCAGGCACCTCTACCGCAGTCGACGCAGGAATGTCCATGCCACAGCCGGCACTGCACCCGCCACTGACGTTGAGTTGGTATTCACTTGAACAACATTTGTTCCACGTTGTTGTGTTCATATTATTCCAGCGCTTATTGCAGCTGATAGACGTGTTATTGTTTCGTCTTTTCGATGATATTCTGCAATAACTGACTCGACCCGCTTGAGAATTTTTCAACATAACGCATTTCGAACAGGTTAAAAACATATCCCCGTATCGATCGTCATCTTCGTCGTCTCTTGATCCAGTTATGCATCCGCCGTGAGACAAACTTCCGAAGCTTCCAAGTCCATCAGAACTGTAGAGTATGCTGGTGCTTGGACTCATGCTGCTGCTCGGCGTGTGGCTGCTGCTGAAGCTGCTTGCTGTGTCGTTGTTGACGACGTTAGCGTGTTCGAAGTCTTCCTCTGGTTGATCGTCGAGATAATTTTCAATAAAATTTAGCACCGCTTTTGTTGGGCAGCACGGAGTTGTTCCTCTTACTTGCACCTTGATGAACTCCATGCGCGGATGGAGAGAGAGATGAACTTTATGTAATGATTCATCAAACTTCAAGTCGTCTCTGTTATCATTATGATGTGAGTCAGAATCAGACATGCAGAGTTTGAGTTTCTTCCGGTTGATATAGCAATCTTCACATCCACTCTCATCTAAAGAGGAAAAGAAAACAACATGATGTGCCATGAATACTGGAGTTGGATCAGGAATTACTTTCAACGTTTTTCTGCCTTCTTCGTCGTTCAATCGAACCATTAGATCTGTGAAAAATCCTGGTTTTAACAAGCGCAACGAAATTTCACAAGAAATCTGTCTTTCTTCCCACTCCGGATTATCCGGCCAAACATCAAGGCTGGGAAAACCATGTTCCAACAGCGAAACAACAATTAAATTGCGAGGTTCGTTCAACGAGGGCTGAGGTTTTAAAGATGGTATCTGGAACTGTTGATGCTTCCTCGTTTCGAAAGAATTACTTCCATTAAAAAACACGCAATAAGGATTGGTTAGAATTGGAGTTGTGAGAGAATCCGGAACGACGAGGCAAGTTTCCAGTTTGATGAGGGCTAACAAAATCCATCTGGCGTATGATGAATTAATTACACTGGTCTGGGCAAGATTTGACGATTTTACCAATTTATACTTGTAAGTTGCAGATTTTTTTGGCAAATTAGTGGCAATTGAATTTAATTCTTTGTCGTTTAAAATATTAATAACTTCATTTTCTGTGCAATGACTGCGATCAAGTGTTTCTAGCAAATGTTGAACGCGCCCGAGGAACCAGGCTACATTGCCTACTACTAATCTCGAAAGCTGTTCATCGGTTTCGCTGCCGAAGTATATTAATTTACCCTTAGAATCAAAATAAGTAAGCATCTGCTTCAACTGATTCAACGGCACGTCGCATGTTTTTGCCAGTGTTTTTACTTCTTCGTAGCTTGTGAAAGGCAACCTCAAATTATTTTCTAACGAATTTAGCTTTATTAGAAATTTTATCCAACTCTTTGGTACTCTGCTTCCCCCGTTGAATTCTATGCACAAACAAACAATAGCTTGTTTCAGTCTTTCAGCGGAGTAACATTCTAGAAGAGCCAAGTTGGGATTCGAACCAGACGACTGCAGACCGGAAGAAGACGATAAACTTTTTTGCTTGGTCAATTTACTGGCTATTTTGCGAGCGTCAACTTCATAATAGGCAATCACGTGCGGAAACTTGTTCCTACTGCCGAACGGTGGAGGAGGGGAAGGTTGAGATTTTTTAACACACGAGTCACCGGATGTTGTAGAAATTAATGTAGCGCTGGATGATGATTTTTTACCTCCTAAATCTGCAGGAGTGAAAGCACTTGAGGTGTCTTGTTTATCGCTACTTGATCCATCTACAAACCCTAACATGCCCCCAGTAGATCGACCCTTCGAAAATGTGCGACGTGCCGTTTTGTGGAAAGATGGTTTGTTGCAAAGCAGACAAGAACGCATTTTTTGATCGCCATGGTAGCGCTTGTTGTGGAATTTTCTACCTTTGTCCAAAATTTTTTCCACAGCCTGCCAGATGTCGTGATAAGATGAGTTTTTGACGTTGTCTGCGTGTGTGCCTGCAATGATGACTGGCGTGTTGGGGTGGGTCTCGTACAGAGACTCTAACCACATCTGAAAACGGTAGAGATGGCGTTGATAAAGATGTTGATGGCAGTTGTTGTTGGGCTGTATGGTTGAAATATCAATTGAGAGAATAAACACATCGATGTTTATTCGCGTGCTGTAACCGTCTGACCAGCCTCTGTTCAGCTCAACAGCACTAACAAACGTTGGCAGTGCTGGTTGCTGTTTCGTGCTGTACACGTTATTTGAACCGTTGTTAGAGCCGTCAGTGCTGTGGTATAATAACATATCTGAAGACTTGTTGCCAGGAGTGCCAAAGCTGCAAGATGTGTTGTTATCGGCTGACGTGGAATAATACGATGAAAATATCCAAGAAGAAAGCGACGAAGATGACGAAGAAATGGTTTCGTGGCTGTCCTTATTTAAATATTCAACCAAAGTCGATTTACCGCTCTGTGTCTCGCCGACGACACCGACTGAAATATCAAGTACTGATGAACGGCCGGTGGTTTGTCTTATGAAGCACTGCAGGTCGGTTCGTTTTTGTAGTTGTAACAAATCGGTCCTTAAATATTTCGGTCTCAACGTGACGTTGAAGTAATCGAATCGATATAAACGAGATATCAAATCATTCAAGCATGTCGGTATGTCTGTTATTCGGTTGTAACTGATGTCCAGCACCTAAAGAGTAGGCAGAAAGATAACGAAAACAAATGAGCACATGGAAGAAAGATTATATAATTTATTATTTGCATAACAAAAATTAATACAAGTGTAGCTATACGTCGAAGTAAAATTGCACAATATTTATTAGCGTCTGCCTAGTTGAAAGCAGGAATAAGTTTTAATAAAAGAAAAATAAATGATCAGAATGTGAAACCTGTAATTCTTTGAAATTCGAAAGTTCCTTCGGCAGAGTAGTTATCCTGTTTCTGTCACACTTGAGAAATTTCAAATTAACGAGTGGGGTTATCCAGGAGATATCATCCAACTTGTTGCCGCTCACTGAGAGCACCTGATCGTCAAAATTATGATGTCAGCTATGGCGATGCGATGATGTCAGCTATGGTGACATCAACAACGATCATGTCATCATGATTGATGTTAACCGAGATGATGATGAAAATTTAACTATGATTATAATGATGACGATGATGATAATGAGGATGATGATGATGTTAACCGTGACGAGGACAATGATGAAAATAATGATGTCATCACTACTGTTGCTTGCGCCGATGCTTATGAACGCTGCTGGCGTACGAAGGAATGATGGTAGTAATTTAAGAGGAATTAAATTTGTTTTGAATTATTTGAGATGCTGAAAAAAAAGATGATTATGTGGATGATCCACGAAATTCCACCATCGAAGATGTTAAAATATGACAGCAATTTTCAAACTTTTTAAATTTTTCACAATTAGATGAACGCAAAACGCTTTAAATTTAAAAACTTTTTAGTGTTAAGGTTTTTTTTTGAATGAAAATAAATAGAGCAGACGGTAAACAGTCGTCGCACGCTTGAAATGTTATGGCTTCAGCGCAATAAATCTTGTTAAACAAACCGCGCACCTCACAGCAGAACATTTTATCACATTACCCAGCTATCGTTCGTCCCAGCCGTGCTTCTAACAAATTTTTCGTATTTATTGATTTGCACGAACGTTCTTTATTAATCATTTCTCGGAAATGTCATGAATAGCAGAAAAAAACAAAGATGAATAAACAATCAATCAATTTTTCATTCGCACATTCAAATTTTCTAAGCCAACGTGACATTCAATCCCTGAATGCCAACCTGCAATGCTGTCATGGATCCGAACGAACGATTCATGTACCTCAATCTTGGCTTCTGACAGTCGCAACTAAACACTTTCAGCTTTTTCAGTTTTGTTATTTCATCTGAAATTTCTTCCAAACAGTTTCTGTCCACCTTTAGAACTTCCAAAGTAGCGGCCATGTTGAAAATTTGAAACGGAAGTCGTTTGAGGTGAGTGTGAGAGAGAATGAGTGTCGTCAATAAATATGGCTGCTGTTGTAAGATTTGCTGGAGTATTTGTTGATCGTGAGACACTGGCTGGTAGTGTGGTGGTTGTTGTTGTTGTGGTTGCTGTTCAGACTTCGAGGAATGAGATCTACATGGCGAGTCGTAATTCTGTTGTTGTTGTTGTTCCTGATTGACAAAGAATGGCTCGTCCTGGGAGTCCCACTGCAGTCGACAATCAACGATCAACAAATGTTGCAGCCTGGCCGGGTTGCTCGATCGCTTTAAAAATTCCGTGAAAGGCGTGAAGTTGGATTCATCTTGAAGGACGATGACGTCAGTGAAATCAGTGTTGCTGTTTCTGTTTGATGTTGTCGTTGTCGAGGTCATTGTTATATCGTTGTTGAACAAATAGCTGCAACAACAGCAGTTAACAGACGCCTGGGAGTCGTGTTGGTGCACCGGAAAATGTTGTGGTTGTGGCTGTTGTGGTTGTTGTTGCTGCTGCGGCAGATGTTGTTGATGGTGCTCGGGGCTTGAACAACAAATGGCGCAACAACATTCACATATTTGATTTATCACAGGGGGCTGCAACGAGTCAACGTAATGTGCCACGTTTTGGCGGACCAATAAGAGACAAGATCGTGTAACTTCATTCATCCATTCAAATTGCCCTGACGAATGGGGACAACTCTGATTCGACAGTGATCTAAGCGTATTCGAATGCTGATTGACCGATAATCCTTCATTAGATTTCGAGTTATCCAAACAGCATCTTTCGATTTGCGTAACAACTGAATCCGTGGTGCAGCAGCTGTCGATACTGCTGACGCTGCTGTTGATGACGTCACGTCGTTTCCATGACGACGTTGATGACGGCGAGTTTGTGAGGTCAGATCCGGGGAGAGAGAAACAGGAATGTGCATGATATTGATGAGAGGTTGTCGAGGAGGATGATGAATGATGCTGAGACTGCTGCTTCGCTACCGCCGGAAAGATCTGAAGATACCAAAAAAATAAAAATCAACCAATGGGAGAGCGTGAATCAAAAGAACTTCAACACTTCGAGTAACAGTATATAGACGACGCATCACAAGGCAACGTTTACATTCAACAGATGATACATATCGATAACACTCATAATTCTACATAACATCAAATAACATCAAATTAAGTTAGATATAACATTAAATAACAATAAAATACACCTGACGCAAAATAAAACGTTACATAAAAAATGTACTAGATATCACGTTACATTAAACAGCATCAAATAACATTAAAGTAAACTAAACTTAACACTAAATAATATCATACATGACAATAGATAACATCAAATAACACCAAATTACACTAGATTTAACATTAAATAACATTATACATAACATTAAATAGCACTAAATGTGAGACGTAACACGAAATAGCATAGGAGGAAAATAGCGAGAGAACAGAAAGGAATAGAAGAAAACGTGGCGCACATACAGAGCATGAATAATGCAGCACCAATATGAGGCGGGATGCAAGTGACTGACTGGAGCACTTGGGCAGGTCAAAATATTTATAACTAGTGAAATGGTAGGAATGGACTAAATAAAGGAATACATTGATGGAAAGATGAATGAATGAGTAGATGGGAAGATGGATAAATAGGTGGGAAGAAAAAGAAATGGATGGTTGGTTTGATGGATGAATGCATGGATAGTTTAAAAAATAAATATAGAGATAAATGTTTTTATGGTTGAAATATTAATTCATTCAACAAAATGTTTCTGAACTTTAACTATTTAAAAAGAGAATAAAGGAGACAAAAATGTATAAATGAAAAACAATTAAAAGAAACAACGCATGATTAAATGTTCAAACGAAAAGGAACAAAATTAATAATCGAACAGTTGATCGAACGAATGAACGAACAAATAAACAAACAAATGTACGTACGTACGAACGAACAGATGAACGGACAAACAAATGAACGAACGTCCTCAATAAAACGGAGCCCTGTGTTGCCATTAGCAAAATTAAAAGCTACGAGAAAGAAGAAATCAATGGAGGAAGAATCCAGACGCAATGCTAGAACAATTTATTACTTTCTTGCTTGCACAACTTCTACTACTACTACTACTACTACTACTACTACTACTACTGTTACTACTATTACTACTGTTACTACTACTACAAATACTACTTCTACTACTACTACTACTACTAATACTGTTACTACTACTGCTACTACAAATACAACTTCTACTACTACTACTACTACTACTACCACTACTACTATCACTATTGCTACTACTACTACCGCTACTACAGCAACAACTACTTCTACTACTACAACCGCTACTACTACTAACTACTAATAAAACCACTACTACTAAAACCACTACTACTACTAATTCTCGTCAAATAAAACTGCTATATTTAATCAGCGTAGTACCAGGTGTGCAGACAAGCGCCACACATAAGTGTATGATTGAAAAGTGAACGGACTTAACTCCTCTTGCACATTTCAGATCTCAATGGTTTCCTGATTTTTCGACTAAATCCATTTTGTGCTGCGTCTATTTTTATTACATTTAATAATCACAATATTTATTTTGTATGACATCCATTTTCTATGGAAAGCCATGTTTTAGTGTTGTACATCCATTTTTATGATATACATTTTCATCCACACCACAGCCATTTGATAACTGGATCTATTCTATAGATACCCTATCATTCTCGCTCTGTCGCCTCGTTTAATGTATCCATATTTCTACTCTATCCGTTTTTAACCAATTGTATCAGCGTGCTACTGTATCTAAAATAAAATATTATGAAGAAAGTGATAAATTATTATTAAATGTCGGTGAACTTCAAGTAAGTAAAAATAAGCGAAAGTGATTAAAAACTTTCAAATAAAATATGCATTGGAATGAAATAAACTGCATGTAACATTATGAAACGAAGAAGATAAAACAATTAAATTAATGAGTTATAATATATTTTCAATAATTATACTTTTTCTCAAGCACGAAAATAATAAAAATTTATCAAATATCAGAAATTCGTTATTTGAAAAGTCATCACACAATAAAAATTCAACCTGCTTTATGAACGAATCATATTTGATGACGTCAAAAGTTGGTGACGTAAGTAGAGCCCTCACGAAATCCAGCCTATCATAGCGAAGGGCGATGTGTAACGGTGATTCTCTATTGGCTGTCTGAGTTTTATTAATTATTCATAACTTTCAAAAGTTTTATTAATTATTCATAACTTTAAAAAATGAACCTGAGGTTCACGCTTATGAATATTAATGGTTTACAAAGATAAAAATCATAAAATATTTCATAAGAAGAAATTTATAAAAAAGTGACGTAAATATTTATCAGAACTTTGCCATAAATTTCACCATTCATAAATATTCATGATGCCCATTACACACGTGTACATAAATAATTTGCATATTTAGCTGACATAAAAAGCGCTGACTCGTAAATATTTGTCCTGACTCATTCTAAATCTCAATGCAATTTAATGTTCTTTACGCGCTCAACATTCATCGACTAAAGACTCACTACACACAACACACGCACACACACGTACACACAAAAACACACACACATGTACAGACGCATACACTACATATACATACACAACACAGTGCCGCTCTGTATTTTCTTATCTTCTTCATTTATTCATGAATGTCAACTCATTGCCTTTAATAAATTTTAACTGGTAGTAATTATTTTCATTTGGTAGAATAAATTAAAGAATTACTTATTAACATTTCCTGAATAAACATTTATTTATTTATTTGTATGTGCGATAATTTGATTTGATGATCGTCAATGCAAATACATTACTGCGTTGCGTAGGCAGAAGTAAAAGTCGATACCAACCAGCCAATCAATGCTGTTACATTATGTGTTTGTGTATACTTTTGTATCTGTGCTTATGTGTTTGTATGCGTGATTATGTGTTTGTACGTATGATTATGTATTTGTATGTGCGATTATGTGTTTGTATGGGTGATTATATGTTTGTATGTATGATTATGTGTTTGTATGTGCGATTATGTGTTTGTATGTGCGATTATGTGTTTGTATGTGCGATTATGTGTTTGTATGTGTGATAATGTGTTTGTATGCGTTTGTATGTCTGATTATAGGCTTTTTATTTGTTTGTTTGTAATGTCAGCGTGTGAGCCTAAATGTGTGATCATTTTTTATTGATTATCCTGGAATACTTTCTGCAAATTGTTTATTTACACGCAAGCAAATGTGTTTAACCAGACGTACGAGTACAAACACACGCTCGGACAAAACGTATATGCGGGTTTGTCTATGTGTTTGTGTACGTGTGTGTACATGTGCACGTGTGTAAACGTGTATGTGTGTGTGTACATGTATGTGTGTGTGTGTGTGTGGTGTGTTTGTGTGGCGTTGTGTGTATGTGTGTGTGTGTGTGTGTGGTGTGTTTGTGTGGCGTTAACCAAGGCGCAAAAACAGATCCTGGGATGGATGACAAATGATTTCACATTACTGACTACAGATGCAACTACATAAATATAAATACTAGTTTATTTTCCGTGTGATATCTTAATTCTATGATACTGAGACTTGAGAATACTATCAATACGTCTAGTACGATTCAGAATGATCTGTTTTTAAATTTAGTTGTTTTAACTTTGACGTTTCAATGTTTTTATTTATTAAAAATTGAAGTTGCGATAATTACCGTTTGTGACATTAATGTCTGCCATTAGGTAATGTAATTTTAGCCTGGAGTTAATGTCATCCACATCAATGAAATGCAATAAAAACAATATATATTGTAATTAATGTAACTGTCACACAGTCACGGCATCAAGTTTTGTTACAACCACCACCACAACAACAACAACAGCAGCAGCAACGACAACAAAATATACAAACAACAACACACGTTTAGACGACATTTTCCCCGAGATCGGGGGTTGCCGTTTGGCTACCTATGATGAAACCGAAATACCCCTCGACGCCATCCACATCTGTCACTCGCCTCAGTATCACGCAACCCCGCTTTCACCCTGTCCTTCTCCACCTGCTCTCTCCATCTCAATCGCGGACGACCCCTTCCTACCACTCCTTCAACCTCGAACTCCAACGCTCGCCTAATCCCGACCCTTTCATCCCTTCTCAACACATGTCCATACCACCGCAATCTCGATCTCCTTATCAATGTCACAATGTCCTCATTCAGTCCCATCATTGACATGAGCTCTGTATTACTCCTCCTATCCTTCACTTTAACCCCACACATCATCCTCACCATAGCTCTTTAAGCCCTCTGCAGTACACTTTCCTCCTCTCTCCTCAACACCCAAGTTTCACCACCATATACCATCGCTGCTCTCACACATGCTTTATATACCCTCCCTTTCATCTTCACTGACCATTTCTTTCCACACAATACCCCACCCAGTTCTCTAAATTTCATCCATCCTACACGAACTCTAGCCGTAACTGCGCTCAAACATCCTCCATCCGCGTTCAGCTTATCCCCTAAGTAAACAAAGCTTTCCACTCTTTCAATACCACCACTCAACCCCGTCCTTGCGTCCGTCCTATTAATCACACCATGAACACATTTCTTACATTTGAACGTGCCTTCCACCTTTTTCAGTGCCCCCCTCACACCACTACATCTCTTATGCACCCATTTCTGACATCCTATACACAATACCGAGTTAGCCTTCACTCTCCTGTTACATACCCCACAGGGGTCTATTTTACAACAAAATATACAAAACAATCCATATTATACAATAACATTATCGTTGGGTGGGTGAGAGAGAGGGAGAGAGAGAGAGAGAGAGAGAGAGAATAAAAATGGAATGGAAATGCACGAGCGATAATCGATGACGTAGAGTCAGACCATAGATAGGAAACAAAGATAAATCAATGATCTATATTACGATGAATTGCTTTGATGCATCGCCTCAATTGTATTTTCTTTGGTTTTATATTTTGCATTGTATTGTATTTTGTATTATATTGTGAATTATTATTTGTATTATGTTCGGTATAATTATTCCTTCTTTGGTATCCGGTAGCATGGTGTTTTGTTTTGCATAAGTTATTGCGTATCTGTGTTGCATTTTTTCCCATATTTTTTTTTATTGAACAGTAGTTGGATAGTGTGAGCGTTAAAAGCACTTCTATTATATTTTAGACATTTGTAAAAAAAATGTATTTTTTACGTTCAGGTTTTCTCTCTCTCCTTCTCTCTCTCTCTCTTTCTCTCACTCTCTATATCTTCATGCATGTATAAATGTGCATAAATAAAATATACATACATAAACACACACAGACACGTGTATAGGGAGATTAGGGAGATAAAAAGAAAAAGAAAGAAAGAGAGAAAGAAAGAGAAAGAGAGAGAAAGAGGAAAAGAGAGAGAAAGAATAGAATGCGTCCTACTTCCTCCCGCCGAATTTTGCCATTGGAAAAAAGCATCACACATGTTGAACTTGATGTGAAAGATTCATCTATTAATAAATTTCAACGCGAACTTTCATCAAATGTTTGCCAAAATTCTTAACCATACTTTCAGACATTTTTTAAGTATTTTAAAAAATACACACATTTTAAAAAATACACACACACACACACCACACACACACACACACACACACACAGACAGGTTATTTATAATATGCACACACGATTTATGTGAATTGATGCACGCACGCACACACACATACGTACATGCACGCACGCACACACGCATACACACATGCATGCACAAAAATAAATATATGTTTGTTTAAAGCAAACACAATATATAAGTTTGAGTGGATTATAATTGAAAAGTTCTTGCAAGTAACATGAAAGAGCTACTGCTCGCTCATTCAATCATTTGCCCAAGCAATCCTTCATTCATTCATTTACTCATTCATTCATTCATTCATTCATTCGTTCGTTCGTTCGTTCGTTCGTTCATTTTTTATTTATGTAATCATTCATTTTTGTCTTCTTTCACTCAATAAATTGCCCATTTGAGCACCACCATCACATCGTTCGAGAATTCATTTTTCTCAGCGACATCATTAGAATTTGTTTCCTTGGCAACTAAACCCATCCCCTCCTCAAGATCACGTGCACACACAAACTCTCCACGCACACGTGCATTCGCACACACGCACACATCTACATTATTACACATGCATAATTGTATTTATACTTGTACACAAAATTACACAATCATCCAAACAATGGCATTCATCGATTCATTCTGTTCATTCGTTCGCACGAAAATGACTCAAAATGTAAACAACTTCATTTTTTAAACCAGAACATAAACAAATAATCACACAAATACAAAATAAATAAACCACCTCATTCGGCAAATAACATAAACAAACAAAAAACACTCATATAAATTAAGCATTTGTACGTACGCACAACTTAAACAAGTATGTGCGCTTTATGCATGCATGCATGTATGTATGTATGTATGTATGTATGTATGTATGTATGTATGTATGTATGTATGTATGTATGTATGTATGTATGTATGTATGTATATATGTATGTATGTATGTATGTATGTATGTATGTATGTATGTATGTATGTATGTATGTATGTATGTATGTATGTATGTATGTATGTATGTATGTATACGTGTATGTATGTATGTATACGTGTATGTACGTATTTATGTATGTATGTGTGTAATTATACGCACAAACTGCGCATACGAACCTAAACCACACAATCATGAAAATATGGCAGACACATTTGCACGGATATTTAGGCGTATTTTTTGTGCGTACACATATACACAGCGTACACTGTAGAAGAGTCAGTGAGTGAGTGAGTTTACAGTAAACGCATTCCAACCACGCATTTAGGTTCTGCATTTTATCAGCGTGTACAGCATTGCGTACAACGGTCCCTCCGGGCGATGTGCACGTTTGTATGAGCAGGAGGAGGCTGGGATGATTGCATTTGCGTATGCTCTTTTCCATGTGTGCGTGCGTGTGTGTGCGCACGTGAGAGTTTAGAATTTAGCCATTCATTATAACAATTAAAATAAAATATCTTGTTTTTTTTTCCGACGAATAAAAGAAAATTTATTGAGCTAAAACATACGAGCACGAACACGCATACTGCTTTTACACACACACACACACACACACACACACACACACACACACACACACACACACACACACCACACACACACACACACACAGACACACACACACTCATATACACCACCAACAGCATATAAACATACTCAGCTATAACTTCATTCAAATGTTTTCAAGCAAAGAGATATTGAACATTTATCTTTAGAAAACAAAAATTATACATTCTGTATATTAAATAACATAAGTGTCCATATATAGGCATACACCAACATACACACACATCCACGCACACACACACACACATTTATATTAACAAACAAACACAATTTTTTTTATAACAAATACATACACAAACATTCTACGCGCACAACAACA